GTGTCTGAACTGGGTGGTGGGGGGGGGGGGTTGGCTGTTGGTGCCGGCTCCCAGGGGAGACAGCTGCTTGTGGCCGGGGAGGGATCTGACAGGGACATGGCACTCGGGACACTGTGTGTTACAGGTCCCTGGACGGTGCGTGGGAAGCTCCCTCTGAGGGGAGCCAGAGCGGTCTTCAGCCACGCTGAGCCCTCCCCGCCAGCCCCGACGCTGGGAGACACCCCTCTCGGCCACCCCTGCGGCCACCGCCTGCGGCCACCCCCTGCCCCACTCCTTCACCTCATTCCAAGCTTGGAGTCCCTGACTCAGACCTCCTGGCTTGACTTCCTGTCTTGGTCAATTTCACTTCCTAGTTCCTGCCCCCCAACTCTTCGGAACAAAACTCCTTCCTTGGAAATTAGAAGTGGGGTCGGAGAATCCAGACCACAGGGGATGTTGGCAGCTGTCCGGGCCTTTGTGCAGAGCGTGCCCTTTGTGGGTGTGCCCCTGGGGGATAGGTGGGCACTCCCTCCTGCCTCTTCGGATGGGCCAGGGCACCCTGCGGGGTAAACCCTCCAGCCCCTCCTATCTGGGCAGCTACATCCTAGGAGCCCCCGAGAGGTAGTGGAAATACCCGTGGGACGCCCAGTGAGCCCCCAGACCCCAGGCTTGGGGCATCTGGAGCTTTGTTAATTTGCCGAGCGCCTCTTGCAAGCCTGGTAGCTGTGGGCGCAGACACGCGGGCAGTGGGCAGTGGGCAGACAAGCCCCTTCCGGGAGCAGTAGCTGCTCCGCAGATGACAAGACCCCGTGGCAGTAGAGTGGCTGGGAGGACAGCTTTGGAGAGGGTGGTCAATCAAGGAAGGCTGCTTGGAGGAGGTGTCGTGAGCCCTGAGCTGAGAAAAAGAACCGAGGAGGGTCTGTGTAAGAGCTGTGCAGGGAAAGAGAACAGCTAGTGCAAATATCCTGGGGCACTTCCCAGGGCCGGGCATCCAGGTCCCAGGGTCTGGACTGAGTGAACGAGGGGAGGGGTAGGAGGCAGGCCTGACAGGTGGGCGGGGCTGGCTTCGAGCTGAGGCCTCTGGTGCGGTTCCGAGAGCCTCAGGTCGTCATCGGAAGATGTGAAGCAGAGGAGTGACACACTTGGATTGGCATCCGTAAACGCTCACTTGGAGCTCCCTGTGGAGAAGGAAAGTCCTAGACCCCTGGCGTGGCGCCCCAGGATGAGGGCTGGGGGCCCGGGCCAGTAACAGGGCGCTGCAGAGTCCTGCGGCCTGTTGTTGTTGGTTTCTTTGGCCGGATGGAAAAGGCTGAGTGAGGGCTGAAGGGACGAGCAGGTCAGTGACCCCAAAGCTGGAAAAATCGGTCATGACCTGGATCGAGCTCCAAAGTTCAACTCAGTTAACTTTCAACCTCCCGGGAGGGAGTCTCGGGGCAGCTGCGGCAGGTGTCTGTCTAGGGACCCGGGTGACTGCTGCTCAGGCTGTCTGGGGAGAGGGGAAAGAGCCCCGGGGTCTGGAGAGCAGCAGAGAGCCCCTGGGGCTCCGGACCTCCCCCCCATGAGCGGGTCCGAGTCTGCACTGTGGTCTCAGAACCCCCAGTTCTGCCCGCCCCCGCGGAGGGCAGAGCGCAGAGCGCAGGTGGGCCTGCGGGGACGGACAGCGGAAAGAGCTGTTTGCTCCCGCCGCCCGCCCGCCCGCCCGCCCGCCCGCCCGCCCGCCCCGGGGTGGAGAAGCTGTTTTTCTGAGCTCTCATCTGTTCTTACTGCTGCTGACGCGCAGCCACGGATGGGAAGAGAGGGCGGGGGCGCCGTGCCAAGTTGGCCCGCCCCCTCTGAACCTGGGCTCCTGCCACGCTCCGCTCCCCCGCCCGCCGCTCCTGTGAGCCTCCGTCTGGAGGTCACATTCAGCCCCGAGGCGTCTCGCTGGGTCAGGCAGCAGGAAGATCAGCCGAGCCCGCGCCCCGAGAGGCTGCTGGGGCGCCATGGCCTTTGGACTTGGCGCAGCAGGAGCGTTGGGGGGTCCGGGGACTCCAGGCCAGCACCCTTGCTGAGCACCCACAGTGGGCACCTTGGTGCCCAGAGGAGCTGCGGACACTGAGCCCTGGTGACGCCTGGCGCGGGCCACTGAGCACACCAGTGACAACTTCTCACTGGCTGCCCTCACTGGCGCGCAGCTGGGGGGGCAGGGGGGACCCCGTCAGGGTGGCCGTGCTGGAGCTCTGGGCCAGGCAGCCCAAGGACCTGCCTCCCCACCCTTCAGCCCCCTCCCCCCTCCCCTCCCCCTCCCTCTCCTCTTCCCTTATATCTGCGGTCTTCCACCTCGATCCTCCCTCTCTCCCCCTCCCTCCTCCGCCTCCCCCGCCCTCCTCCCTCCTCCCTGGCGCTGTTAGAGGAGGAGGATGTGAGGCTGAGCGAGCGGCCAGCAGACGCCAGAGCCGGCACCACGGCAGCCTAGCCTCCCGCCTCCCCGCCCGCCGCTCCTCTCCCTGGAGCACCCTCCAAGCCTTATGTTTCCGGAAAACTTGGCCGAGGGGGAGACGCAGATGAGAGGATGTGAGTGAGTGGTGGTGGGGGGGTCTGGGCCATGGTGACGGATGGGTTTTGGCAGCCCAGGGTCGGGGACTCAGTTCTGTGCGGGTAGGATCCCATCTCCGCCTTTTCCTCCGAATCCCTTCCCCTGCCTTGGGGTGTCAGGCCAGGGGCTCTGGGAAAGGGAGCAGGGCCTGGGTCTTAAGGGAGGTTTGAGGGGGGGCCTGGGGGCTCTTGGTTGGTGTGTGCTGGAGGTGTTGTCTCCAGGGGGACCGTCACGAGGGGCTTCAGCCGGGGCTCATTCAGGTGGTCTCCAGGGCACGGTGGGGCTGGAAGTGCTTCCCCCCCAGGGCCTGGTCCCCGCACCCAGGCCTGGTCCCCGCCGTGGGGTTCAAAGAGCAAGAAGCAGCGAAAGCCCAGCCCTCACGCAACAGCTGAGGAAACTGAGGCCCGAGAGTAGAAGACGTTCTGGGCAGGGCTCCTGGACAGCTGTCCAGGGTTCGCGCACTTCTGTTTCGGGGAGGCGCGGGGAGGGACCCCCCACCAGATTCCCCGCCACCTCCTCCTTTATGCGCTCAGTTCAGAAATGTCAGCCTGCCCAGGGTTGGGCCTGCCCCTGGGTGCGCTGTTCCCCCGCCCCAGAGCCCAGATGGGAGATGCACCCCCTCCCGCTCAGGGTTCCGGCCCGACGTGTTTGCTCGGCTCCCTTGGCCCCGGCTGGGGAAATATAAATAAACGCGCGTCCCCATCGTCCTCCGCCAGGTTCTGTGGCAGCTGCTGGCGCGGGTGGAGGAAAGGTCAGGGGCCGGGTCGCACTTGATCCCTCGCCCTCCCTCCTCTCCTCCTGTCCTTGAGGAACCTGCGGAGGCCTGGAGCCACGTGGCCCCACGGCCTCCGCAGGGGAGCAGGTGGCCGGTCGTCCCGCACCGCCCCCACCGCGGGCTCCAGAGGTGGGGGAGCAGACACCCTGGGTCCCCGCGCCCGCCCGACCCCCGGGCCTGTCCCACGCGCCTGTGAGTTGCTGCGCCCCCCGAGCCTTGGTTTCCTCCATCCTGGGGAAGGGAAACTGGCCACGGACTGGCAGGGAGGACGAGACGAAACCAAGTCTCTGGAAGGCTTTGCAAACTCCGGGTCACTTGGCCGCCCGGCACTGGCCCCTCCGCGTTGCTGCCGCCGCCGTTTTATTTCTGTCGGAGCCGTGCACGGGGCAGGACGCCGGCACGTGCTTGAGTGGATGGAAGGAGGCACGGCTGGCCGGCTGGAAGGGGGACAGAACGCCAGCACGCAGACTGCCGGCCTCTCCGCTCCCGCTCCCCTGCAGAATCTCGGTCCTCACCCGCCTCCTTGCAGCTTGATTTGATTCAAGGAAAATGGCCTCAAACTTCAGGGTGGGAAATCTCCCGTTAGCGGTTACGAGTCTAGCTCTGGGGCTCGGAGCCCACCGGGTGTGTTCCCAGCAACATGACTCTGGCTTCGTGCCTGCCGCCCTCGGGGGGCCCTAGTACTGCCCAAAGCCCCTGGGGGGCTGGAGTCCGCCTCCCGCCTCCCCCCACCCCGCCGCCGGCCTTAGCGCTCGGCTCCGGCGCCCGGCGCTGCTGGGAGACACAGACGAAGCCGGAGACAGCGTGTGCGCCCGCCCCTGCGTGTCCGAGCTCTGCGGGCGGATGGGCTGGGACCCAGGGCCAGGCTCCCCAGGGCACTGCCTCTGGATCTGGGCGGGGGATGGGGGTTCTGTATGTGCCGGGGGTTGTGTTTTTCCTAAACCTGCTTGGGCATTGAATATAGAAGTGGGGGGGGGGGGCACAGCTCTGGTCTGAATTTGTGGGGATGGAGGAAACTCTCAGACAGTAGGTTTGGGGTGGGGTCTGTCAGTTTCTGGGGTTTCTTTCCCCATCAGGAGGCTCTGAGGCTGTGAGATGCTCACAGAGATGGGGGGCTGTGATCTGGGGACAAGTCCACTCCCAGCCCCTGGACCAGCCCAGTGTGGCCTGAGTCCATGGGGGCCTTTGAGCCCTGGGGTGCCCCAGTTGACCTGGGTGCAGAGGCTCCTAGCCCCAGCTCATCCCCACCTGGACTCTGTTGCCCCCCCCCCACACACACTCCTTCCTTTCCCAGCCCGGTGCAGCCGGAAAGCAGCCCGGTCCCCGGAGGCCTTGTCTGCAGCTGCATGCGCACGTCAGTGCTGGGTCATGACAGGGAGCAGGAGGGGTGGGGGCCTGGCGGGGTCTGCGCCCTGGACCTCAGCCCCAGAGCCTCGACGGTGACCTTGGTGGGGTGCACCCAGCGCCAGCACCCGCCGGCCCTCTCATGCCGGGTGCCCAGGCCTCTCCCAGGAGGCCCACAGAGGCCAGGCCCCTTGTCCTCACTCTCTCTGGTGACCCCCGAGTTCTTTGGGGGTCTGAAACCCAGACGGTTAGCTCAGGCCTGGGGCTGGGGCCCCATCTGCCCGCAGGCGGCGGGCCAGCCCCTCACCCACTGCCCTCCCCCCACAGGTCTCCTGGAGCACGGCCGGAACTGGTCGGCCATCGCCCGCATGGTGGGCTCCAAGACGGTGTCCCAGTGTAAGAACTTCTACTTCAACTACAAGAAGAGGCAGAACCTGGATGAGATCCTGCAGCAGCACAAGCTGAAGATGGTGAGCGCCCCCTGCCCGCCTCCCAGGGGTCCCCGCCAGGCCCCGGGCCGTCAAGGGGCTGCGCCCGGAGCCTCCTGAGCCGTGCCTGGTGGCACCCACAGCGTGCTGCAGGGTTGATCTGTGCCGTGAACATGTCTCCTGGGCACGGACAGGCAGGCCTGCCCGCCTCCACCCCAGCACCCCTCTCAAACACTTCGGAGGTCTGAGCCCGAACTCACTGGGGTGAAGGCCCAGAGGCAGATGAGCTGAGGGAGCGCCTCCCCCACCCATCTGACTTCACAGTATTAGGAGCCCCGTGAGGGAAGGACGGGTCAGGGCAGCCAGCCCAGCCCTGGCCTCTGCAGGCCGTCGGGGAGGCTGCGTCCTTTCCCTCCCTGGGCGCACAGGGGGGCGGGCACCTCCGTGAGTGGATGGTCTCTGGAGACCATCTCCTCCGCAGCTGTTACGGGAAGCGAGGGCCATTCCGACAGCCTGTGTTCTCTCTCTGTCTCTGTGCGTGTCTCTCTCTGTCCTCGCCCCCTTCCGCCCGATTTGGGCAAACTTGACCTACCAGGCAGTCACCATTTCAGATATGGGGAAACTGAGGCTCAGCTAGGCCCATAAACAGCCACTGGGGTTTGAACCCAAGGACCCAAGTTCTTAATTGGCGGGCTGCCTAGAGGGGACACACAGCTCTTCACCCCCGACCCAGCCGGGCCGCCTGCTGCAGTTTAAAGGTTATGCAGCCTGTCCTGGGAGGCAATGCCAAACTGCTCCCCGACGCAGCCCACCGAGGTCTGGAGAGGGTGAGCAGCCCGCCGAGGTCCAGAGGGGGTGAGCAGCCCGCCGAGGTCCGGAGGGGGTGGCCAGCCCGCCGAGGTCCGGAGGGGGTGGCCAGGCCGCCGAGGTCCGGAGCTGGAGGGGGTGGCCAGGCCGCCGAGGTCCGGAGCGGGTGGCCAGGCCGCCGAGGTCCGGAGGGTGAGCAGGCTGCTGAAGCCGCATAGCACAGTGGAGGGCCAGGGTTAGAATCGCGCTGTTTGAATTCTTTGGGAGCACTGTGCATAAGTTAAGGGCACGCCCCCTTCCCAGCCTCCTGTCCTGGGGGACACTGTGGTCAGGGCTGAAGCAGGCTCCTGCCTGCACCCTGTTCCCCGGTACCCCGGTGAGGCCACACCTCCTTCATAGTCCAGTCACTCAGACAGGCCCCGGAATAGGGCCTGGGTAGGGCTCTTGCACCCAGGACTGCTTCCCCGAGACTTTCTAGGACTCTGGGTTCCACGGGGAAGAAGGAAGGCTGAGTGGGGTGAGGCCACCGAGCCCCTGTCCTTGACGCCTGCTGAAGCCAGTGCTGAGCCCAAGAAGCCAGGAGGGGCTGGAGGGGTGGGGGTGTCAGAATCAAGGGGGTGGCCCTGAGCATCACCCCAGGCCCCGACGATGTCTTCCTGTTCCCTCTGACCTCCCTGCCTCTCCCCGCTGCCCTCCTCCCTCCTCCCCCATTCCCTGCTCCTCCCAGCCGGTGTCCAAGGCGGGCACAGCCCAGGCTATTGGGTTACAGGCATCTCCTTCCTCCTCGCGCAGCCTGGCCCCGGGCCTCACTTTCCAGGTTTCCTCAGGGCACGGCCCCGCGGTGCCCTCCGGGGCCCCTGAACTGGAGAGTATGGGTTGGAGGCCCCGAGACCCCCAGCAAGGTGGGCGGTGCAGCTGGGCCTGGTGGGGGCGGGACTGGGGCAGGCCCTGGCCGGTGACTGGGCACCTGAGTGACAAAGCAGCGGCTTCACCCCCTGAGCCTCAGTTTCCTCCTCTGTAAAGTGAGAAAACTCAGGGTGGCCCTGCTGTAGGGCCGAGTGCCCTGGGGCAGGGGTGCCGAGCGGGTGAGCTGCCTGTGTGACCCCGGCTGCAGGCGGTGTGAACTCTTATCCTACTCATGGTAGTTAGCAGTGGAATCACCGTTTCAAAGCCTCTGGCCCTTCGTCTTCCCTGGGGCGTCGGCTCTCGCGCGTGGAGGAACCGCCGGACCAGGGACTCTGGCTCCCAGAGACCCGGGTTTGAATCCAGGCTCTGTCGCTTACTAGCTGCGTGGCCGGGGGCTGGCGGCTTGACCTCTGCATCGGTTCCGCTCCTGGACCGACTGGCTGGCTGACCGGCTGGCTGGCTGATTTACTCAGAGCAGCAGCCCGGCAGAGGGGCCCTGGGCAAGAGGGTCCCACCTGGCTCTGCGTTCGCTGACTGGTGCCCGAGGGTACCTGGCTTCACGCTCTGCCTCGGTTTCCTCCGTGAGACAGGCCGACCAGGCCCCCGTCGACGGCCGGGGGAGCAGGCGAGGGCCTGTGCTCAGCTCAGGGCGGGTGTGCCCGTGCCCTTGGCACGGCTTCACTGGGCGCCCTCCCTGTGCCAGGGGAGCAGCCGCGGGTGCCCGAGGGTCTGGCTGGGGTTTTCCCACTGGGCTTGGCTCTGGGCATTTCTTCCGGGCACAGCGGGAGCCTTTGTAGGCTTGTTAGCCCGGGGGAGCCCAGCCAGGGGAGTGAGGCGAGGCAGCTGAGGCTGCGGAGAAGGCTGTCTGTCTGTGTCCCTGATCCTGGACCCTGGTGGGGTCCGGTGTGAACAGCAGGGCACCCAGAGGCCCCATCCCCCAGGTGTGGGAAATGAGGCTCGGAGCGGGTAGGTGCCCAGTGAGACCGCCTGTCTGAGCCCTGGCTTCCCTGCAGGCCCGTCCACTGTGTCCCTAGATGTCCCTGAGTCCCTAGATGTCCCTGTGCCCCTAGATGGGCTCACACAACTGCACAGAGGGGGTCCTGCTGGGCCAGCAGTGCCCTGGACCCAAAGCGGGGGGCTGATGGCTTATTGATGAGAAAGGGTGATCGAGAGTACGGGGTTGGCGCTCTCCCTCGGCTGACCCCGAAGGGCAGACTTCCACCGAGGAAGCGCAGTGGACAGACGCAGGGACCCGCCATGGGAAGTCAGCCTCAGCCCAGCTCCCTCCGCGCAGGGGTGAGTTCCCCATCGCTGGAGTATGCAAATGGGCCTCGTGAAATGCTGCTGAACTCGGAGACCTCTACCTCCCGCCCCTCCCCCACACCCTGCAGCACCCGGGAGGAAGACGGGCCCTTGTGACTCCGGAGGCAACCACCTCTGGCTGCTGGCCAGGCCCTGTCTGGAGCTCGGGCTGACATGTCACCCTTGGCCAGTGCAGGAAGGAGCGGGGGAAGCAGAGGGTCAGCGGCGTCCCCACTGCCCTGTAGCAGGCCTGGCCTGAGCGTGGCTGCAGACGGCAGCAGGAAGCAGAGCGGCGGGCGGGCCCAGGTTACGTAACACTTGGCATCTGCGTCTCCGCGAGGCTTTCCCTCCCCCCTCTGGCCGAAGGTTAGCTCCTCTCCCATCTGTGAATCCAGGCCCTGGGGCTCCGGTTCCGTGTCTCTCCGCCCGTTTGTCTCACCCAGGCTGGGCGGTGCTGGGACCCGACCTGGGCTCCTGGACGCGGGAGCTCTGTGGCCTCGGGCAGCGTCTTAGACTCTGAGTTAGCGTCCTCCTCTGTCGGGTTCATTCACCGGGGCGACGTTCGGGCTGCTCTGAGCCGGGCCCTATGGCAGGGACAGCCCGGAACAGGCCTTGAGCTGGGTCTAGTTTGAGAAACAGAGTAACACGTGATTTCACACCGTGGTCGAGGACGGTGAGAGGAGGGATGTCGCAGAAAGGATTCGCTGCCTCAGACGAGCAAGCCAGTCTGGAGAGGTGGGAGGCGTCCCGCGGGTCTCCGGGCAGAGGGCTGACCGGCCGGAGCCCGTGGCTGGGCGCACCTCTGCCGGGCAGGGCAGCATGTTGGTGGCAGTGACCCCGGAGGTGGGGGGCAGAGGAGCAAGTTGGAGAGGTGGGTGGGGTCCAGGTCTCAGTTTCGTATTTCTGTGTGAACAGGTAGGACTCGGGGTTTTATTGCAAGGGCTTCGGGGGACCCCCTGGAGGGTTCGAAGCAGGGGTTCGCTGAGCGGCTGTGCAGGTCCAAGGAATTCGTAGCTGGAAGATGCTCAGCACGTGCTAGCTGCTTAGTAAACGTCCGCTGTAACGATTACCGATGTCACGCACACCTCCCGATTCCGTGTGCGGAGGGATTCGGACTAGTTCCCGGGGCACTCAACGTCCCGGCCTCCACACCCAACCAGCGTTGGGGATGTTCGGGTGTTGACTCGTCGAACTCGGCCTGACTGACCTGGGGAGACCCTCCCGGAGAGACCCTGCCCATTGGCAGGAGGGCACGCGCCCTGGCCAGGCCCCCGGAATCCCGGTTCCCTGCAAGGCTCCGAGCCTGCTGAGTCCCACCCACTGGTCAGGCAGCTGATCACTGCCTCACCCAGCCCTGGGCACTGAAGTGAGTCCCTGCCTGCTAAAAATAGATTGGGGAAGAAGGGGGAACCCTCAGCCGCGCCCACAGAAGCCACGGACACACAACTTTCTGGCACCTCCGTGGGCTCCAGCAGGGGGCCTGCAGGAGGAAACTTGGGGTTTGGGGCAGGGCTAGGGCAGCCATAGGAGTGGGCAGGTGTCGGGGCTGGGCGTTCCCATAACGGCCGGGGACACTGGGCAGGGCGGGGCCCTGGCCCTCTGGCCAAGTACTGGTGACGGAAACCATGACTAACGGGCAAACGGACATTTCCCTTTTCCTCCTGGTGTTCCCAGCGGCTGCACCCTGAGGACCCCCCATTTGCTCTGGGAGGAGGCAGGACGGGAAGTGATTCCACCCCTGGGCTGGGCCTTGGGAACCCCCTGAGGCTTGTCCCCAGCCAGGCCATGGTGAGGGGCTGGGGTGGGCAGGGCCCACTGGCACCTGGAGGGGCCCGGGCATGTGCCCGAGAGCGGGCTGCGCATGTAGTGATGCGGGGTGACTTCTTCCTGGGGCCTGGCCGGGGGAGGTGTGTTCGCTTATTTCCTGTAACAAAGCACCAGCCAGCGAGGTGGCTAAGCAACAGAAACCCATTCTCTCCGCCCCGGAGACAGACGTCCGCCATGAAGGTGTCGGTGGGCCGTGCTCCCTCTGAGGGCTCCAGGGGAGGGTCCCGCCTCGCTTCTGCTTCGGGTGGTGCCTGGCTCCCTTGACCTTCCCTGGCGTCTGTGCATCACGCCCGTGTGCCCGTGTCCAAATTTCCCTCTTATAAGGACACCAGTCATTGGATGTAGGGCCCTCCCTCATCTAGTCTGACCTCATCTTAACTAATTACATCTGCTGAGAGCTGATTTCCAAATAAGGTCACGTTCTGAGGTTTGGGTGGACTTGGATTCTGGGGGACAGTCTCCGACCTGGGCTGCGGGCTGCGCTCAGAGCCGTCGGCATGTCCAGGGGTGTTCTCGGTTCCGTCTCCTTTCTCGGAGGCTCACATAGGTCATTTTGGGTGCCCTCTGAGGGTTCAGCCCACTCCCCTGGGAAGCCCTGGTCACCTCGAGACTCCCCCCACGTCCTGCCTCCACACATACCTCGACTCTGCTGCATGTTCAAGCCCGAGACGCTGCGAGTTTGCTCGGTGGACCAGTCAGCAAACACCTGAGCATCGGCCCGTCTCAGATGGTTGGGTGGAGAGACGCCCAGTATGTGCCTGGCCCTGCTGGAGCACCCAGCCCAGTGCAGTGCCAAGAGAGAGCTGTCAACGAGGAGTGACGTGTGTGCCCAAGCTGGGGGTTGGCTCCTGGCCCCCTGTGTGGGGACCTGGGCAGGGTGCAGGGACGTGACAGGCTCCGTGGTGAGGGCCTCCTTTCTGTCCTTGTGCCCACCTCTGGGCCTTTGTGTTTGCAGCCTCCCCTGGACCACTGCCCCCAGAGCCTGGCCCGGCCGGCTTCCTCTCCGCACCTCCTCTGACACCCTCCTCCGCCATCTCTCCACGGTGGCCCTGGCCCACACCCGCTCTTGCCGCATTGGGTCTCCGCACCTCTGAGTCTTCTTTTTAAGAGATGTGTCCATTGGCTGGCCTTCCCAGCTGGAGGGGCGTGGGGGCAGGGACCTTGTGCCTCATGCATGTGTGTCCTCAGCCCTGGTGGCTGCACACAGTGGGTGCCCTGCAAAGACTGGAGGAGTGGGTGCCGAGCTTCCCAAGCTCACCTGTCCCCCGGGGTCCAGTGGGGGGCAGACGAGACCGGCGAGGACAAGCCGCCTCCATTCATTTGCTCCGTGGACTGATGGACTGGCAGGGTGTCCCTCAGGCTAGGGCAGTCAGGGCTGGAGCACTCACAGGGCCCCTTGGGGAGAGGCTGTCCTTCCTCACCTGTTCTGGAAGGGTGTCAGGGCGGCCGATAGGCTAGGCTGCCCCCCAGGAGTATCTGGGACACGATGGGAGAATAAAGCCCAGGGTAAAAATAACCGCTAGCATGTCTGGCTGCGGCAGCGGGGAGCGAGGGGGAAGGGTACCCTTGGAACCATGTGGCTGGGCTCGCTGTCCCTAGCAGCTGTGGCGAGGCCTCAGGCACGGGGAATCCCCAGGCTGACAGCCCAGGCCCAAGTCCTGACCTGCTGCTCTTCCTGTGCCCTAGGAGAAGGAGAGGAACGCGCGGAGGAAGAAGAAGAAAGCCCCAGCCGCCGCCAGCGAGGAGGCCACCTTCCCACCCGTGGTAGAGGATGAGGAGATGGAGGCCTCAGGTGTGAGCGGCAACGAGGAGGAAATGGTGGAGGAGGCAGAAGGTGAGGCAAGAATGACCTTTCCCAGAAATGTCTGGGTCCTTCTAAAGGGGCCTTGACTGCCCTAAAGGGAAGAGTAAGATGGTGACGGTGATGGTGATGATAGTGATGATGATGGGGATGGTGGTGGTGGTGATAGTGGTGGTGATGGTGATGGTGGTAGTGATGACGAAGGTGCTGGTGGTGGTGGTCGTCATGGTGGTCATGATGACGGAGGTGCTGGTGGTGGTGATGATGATGTTAATAGAGGTGATGGTGATGGAGGTAATGGTGGTGATAGTGGAGATGGAGGTGGTAGTGATGGAGATGGAGGTGGTAGTGATGGAGATGGTGGTGATGGTGATGGAAATGGTGGAGGTGGTGGTGATGATGGAGATGGTGGTGATGTTGATAGAGGTGATGGTGATGACGATGGAGATGGTGGTGATGATGGAGATGGTGGTGGTGGTGATGATGCTGATAGAGGTGATAGTAGTGATGATGATGGAGATGGTGGTGATGATGATGGTGGTGATGGTGATGGAGATGGTGGTGATGGTGATGATGATACTCATAGAAGTGATGGAGATGGTTGTGATGATGATACTCATGAGGTGATGGTAGTGTTGATGATGGAGATGGTGGTGATGATGATACTCATAGAGGTGATGGTAGTGATGATGATGGAGGTGATGATGATGATACTCATAGAGGTGATGGTAGTGATGATGATGATGGAGATGGTGGTGATGATGATACTCATAGAGGTGATGGTAGTGGTGATGATAATAGTCATAGAGGTAATGGTAGTGATGATGATGGAGGTGGTGGTGATGATGATGGAGGTGGTGGTGATGATGATACTCATCTAGGTGATGGTAGTGATGGAGATGGTGGTGATGATGATACTCACAGAGATGATGGTAGTGATGATGATGGAGGTGGTGGTGATGATGATACTCATCTAGGTGATGGTAGTGATGGAGATGGTGGTGATGATGATACTCACAGAGGTGATGGTAGTGATGATGGAGGTGGTGGTGATGATGATACTCACAGAGGTGATGGTAGTGATGATGGAGGTGGTGGTGATGATGATACTCATAGAAGTGATGGTAGTGATGGAGATGGTGGTGATGATGATACTCACAGAGGTGATGGTAGTGATGGAGATGGTGGTGATGATGATACTCATAGAGGTGATGGTAGTGATGATGGAGGTGGTGGTGATGATGATACTCACAGAGGTGATGGTAGTGATGATGGAGGTGGTGGTGATGATGATACTCATAGAAGTGATGGTAGTGATGGAGGTGGTGGTGATGATGATACTCACAGAGGTGATGGTAGTGATGGAGATGGTGGTGATGATGATACTCATAGAGGTGATGGTAGTGATGATGGAGGTGGTGGTGATGATAATACTCATAGAGGTGATGGTAGTGATGATGGAGGTGGTGGTGATGATGATACTCATAGAGGTGATGGTAGTGATGATGGAGGTGGTGGTGATGATAATACTCATAGAGGTGATGGTAGTGATGATGGAGGTGGTGGTGATGATAATACTCATAGAGGTGATGGTAGTGATGATGGAGGTGGTGGTGATGATAATACTCATAGAGGTGATGGTAGTGATGATGATGGAGGTGGTGGTGATGATGATACTCATAGAGGTGATGGTAGTGATGATGATGGAGGTGGTGGTGATGATGATACTCATAGAGGTGATGGTAGTGATGATGGAGGTGGTGGTGATGATAATACTCATAGAGGTGATGGTAGTGATGATGGAGGTGGTGGTGATGATGATACTCATAGAGGTGATGGTAGTGATGGAGATGGTGGTGATGATGATACTCATAGAGGTGATGGTAGTGATGATGGAGGTGGTGGTGATGATGATACTCATAGAGGTGATGGTAGTGATGATGGAGGTGGTGGTGATGATGATACTCATAGAGGTGATGGTAGTGATGGAGATGGTGGTGATGATGATACTCATAGAGGTGATGGTAGTGATGATGATGGAGGTGGTGGTGATGATGATACTCATAGAGGTGAAGGTAGTGATGGAGATGGTGGTGATGATGATACTCATAGACATGATGGTAGTGATGATGGAGGTGGTGGTGGTGATGATACTCATAAGGTGATGGTAGTGATGATGATGATGATGGAGGCAATGGTGGTGATGGTAGCTATAACAATAGTGATCATTGGCTGCTCTGTGCCTGCAGGGCCCTTGTCTATTCACCCTCCAGACTATGAATTCAGCTCAGGACAGACCTAGTGACACTGGTCCTGCCATCTCATCTGCTGTCACAGTTTAGAAAAAAATTTTGTTTTTGAAAATAGTTGTTTGACCAGTGTAAGTAGAACCAATCCATTGGTGGATAAATATTTCAAAGGTTAAATAATTATAGTGCCCCAGTTTGGTTGCTACCTCATACAGCTGTTTTCTGTGTGGGGAAGGAGGCTCGGGCAGCAAATGCCCTGGCCCCGCACCCAGGTGCCCGCGGCTGCGTTGCTGCACCTGTCAGGTGGTTCTCCCACAGGGTGAGTGCTGCTCAGGGACCTGCCCGGGGCTCAGAGGGAGGGTTTTGGCTGCACGAGGTTGGCCCCACGGCGTGAGAAGGGTTTGCAGAGCCAGGAACTGCCAGGCTGCCGGCGGTAGGCCTCACTCCTGACCACGGATCTGTCTGCCTTTGCCCCCCTTCTCCTGGGTCTTTATGCCCCCAGCATGGAGCCCTGAAGACCCCAATCCCTGCTTAGCTGAATGTCTCTGCTTCTCCTTCCGCCGTCTCCCCGCCCAGAGCTGCCCTCGCTGGGCCCTCAAGTGCTTGGAGATTGGCACCATCTCTCCTGCCCGTCGGGCGCTCTTCCTCCTGCTCCTCTCTGCCTGTCCGAGCGCCTGCCAGGCGGGCGAAGGCCGGTGTGCGTCCCCCAGGCTCTGGGAGCCAGGCCCGCCGACAAATGCGGGCCTGACCAGCCGAGTCCCACCTCCCAGCCGAGAGCGCAGAATCGCACCGTTGCATCATCGTCTCCAGGGAAGGCTCTGGAGCCGAGTGGCCCCTCGCCAGCTCTGGGTCTCCATGGCCCAAGTGGGCCGGAGACCTGGCGAGCGTGTGGTGGAGCACGGCCGATCCAGGCTGGTTCCTGGGTGGGCCAGGAAGGGGGGCGACCTAGGCAGCACGGGCCCGGTGTGGCCGCGGTGTGGGCAGGGTGCAGACTTGGGAAGGTTAAGGAAGCCGGCAGCCCTGCCCGGGGAGAGCTGAGCATTAGTGAGCTCACCTGGGGGTTCACACCCCATCAAAGGCGGCAGAGGGGCCTTGTCTGCCGGGCGGTGTGGGGCAGGGCTGGTCTGGCCACACCAGAGACCTCTGTGATTACCTGGTGGCCCTGAGCCGATCGAGGGGGGCAGTTTCGGGGGTCCTGCACAAAGGTACGGGGTGACAGTCCCATCTTCGGATGAGGAAACTGAGGCCCAGGTTGAGGACTCACGCAGTAAGTTGTCATGTAGCCGGTAGACTTAGTCTCCCATCAACCAGCACTTGCTGGGTTACCCCGTCCCCTGGGGCCAGGATGGGGGAGGGGAATCAGGTTCGGGGTTAGGGCCTGCAGTCACACCAATGGAACCTTCCGGAAAACCCAGCCAGCCCTCGAAGGCCCCCTCCCGAGGGCAGGCAGCAAGGGCCTCAGTGCCTCCAGTAATGATCGTGGTCGTACAGTGTTCTCATCGTCACCATAACCTAGGGAGTAGGTGTTGCTCTCGTCCCCTTTACAGATGAGGAAACTGAGGCACGGTGGCTTCCCGAGGTCACACAGTTGGCCGATTTGGGTTCAAACTTAGAAGTGCTGATTCTCAGGCCCCACCCGGTCCTACTGACAGAACCGTTTTTGGGGGGTGGCCCAGCCGTCGGAACCCACAGCCTCACACCTGAGAACTGATGGGCAAGCTTCTGCCAGGTGTCAGCCGCCCATTTTATAGATGAACATACTGAGACCCGGGGTTAAGCCCCTTGTCCCAGGGCCTCAGCACTGGCCCCCTACACCCTTTGTCTGATCACGTGCAAGGGAGGCAAGGACATGCTGGAGTCAGCGACAGGAAGCCCCGTGATTAGGGATACAGGCTGCTGGGGTGAACCCACTCCTGCCCCCATGCAGTGTGGCCTTGAGCAAGTGACTTGACCTCTCTGGGCCTGTTGGCTGATCTGCAGACAGGAGGGATGATTGCCCCGTCTCAGATCACTGAGGATGCTGTGAGTCATGCATGGGTCTAGAGCTTTGCATGGAGCTCAGCACGTACAGAGCAAGTGTGTGTCGCCACGGGGTTGATTATTTCCGGAGGGGGTGGCCCCTGCTTGGGGCCTTGTCAGGAGACGAGAAGCGGGAGGGGCTGGGGTCATGGGGTCATGAGGGCCGAGGAAGCCTTTGTTCAGGGCCCAGCTGGCCTGGCTCGGCCTGAGGGGTGAGGTGCTGGGAGCCAGGAACCAGAGAAGGCCAATGACCTGTGCAAGGCCACCCAGGACGGGGCAGGACGCGCTTCTCGCGCCGTGGGACCCCACCGTTGGCCCGGTGCCACTGCAGGTCCCCCGCGGCTGCTGGTACCCAGTCTAGAGGGAGGAGGTGCGTCGGTTCAGGACAGGGCAGGTGAGCGGCTGGTCGAGCCGCCGAGACTCCTGCTGCCGCCTGCTGGCCCTCGGCCCTGCTGCCGGCTCTGCCTCCCACCACACCGCCCTCCCTCCCTCCCTCCCCGCTGCTCATGCCTCCTGGCTCCTAACCCTTCTCTCACTTCCTTCCAGCCTCACACGCCTCTGGGAACGAGGTGCCCAGAGGGGAATGCAGTGGCCCAGGTACGAATGTGGCCGTCTGGCCTGGGGGGCGGGGGGCACACTGAGGTCACCTGTCCTCTGCGGGGGCCCCACTTCTGTGAGCATGTTTCTGCCTTGAGCACCACGTTTGTGGGGCTGCCGCCTCTGCGCACCCTCCCCGTGCAGTGTCTGTTCCCCACGCTGTTCCCTGCCTCACTCCCGCGGTTCAGGGCGCTCGGCTCAGCTGTTCTGTTGACTGTCCCTGGTGTTTTCGTTCGTGACCGTTACTTGGTTTCATCTCCCAACAGCAAGTGTGGTGTTTTTAAGGGTCCCCACTTTACAGAAAGTGAGGGGAAGTTGGGACCCACAGAAGTGACAGGAGTGGTGTTTTCAGGCTGGAGAACCAGGCCTGGAGCCGAGGTCCCCTTGTCCTTTGTCTGTATATACATTCAGTCACTCGGTCGTCACTTAACCGTGCACCTGCGTGCACCAGGCCCGTGGCAGATGGCCCTGTTATGCTGATGACAACATGACACAGCGGCAAATGGCCACTAGGGCGGTTCACAGAAGCCTCTGGGCTGTTTGAGGTCAGGGGACGGGGCCCGCTGCACCCTGAGCTCCTGCCCAGAGTCAGGACGCAGTCGGGGGAGCGGGGAAGGCAGCGTCCACCCCCTCCCGTGAGCCCACACACTGCTCACCCCCTCTCCGCTCTCCCCCACCACAGCTGCCGTCAACAACAGCTCTGACACCGAGAGCATCCCCTCGCCCCACACCGAGGCCGCCAAGGAGGCCGGGCAGAACGGGCCCAAGCCCCCGCCCGCCCAGGGCACCGATGCGCCGCCCCCGGAGCCGCCCACCCCACCGCCGGAGGACGCCCCAGCCCCCACCGAGCCTGCCCCAGCCCCGGAAGCCGCCGGCCCGCCCACACCCCTACCGGCACCCCCCGTGCCCGCAGCGCCCCCTCCGGTGGTCCCCAAGGAGGAGAAGGATGAAGAGGCTGCAGTGGCAGCCCCGGCGGCGGAGGGGGAGGAGCAGAAGCCTCCTGTGGCCCAGGAACTGGCCGCGGACATAGGCAAGAAGGAGGAGCCAGACGAGGCGCCCCCGGCGGAACCCATCAAGACCGAGTGCAAGGAGGAGGCCTCGGGCGAGGGGCCCGACAAGGTCAAGGGGGCTCCGGAGGCCGGCGCCGAGCCTGCGCCCGAGGGGGCGCTCAAGGTGGAGAAGAAGGAGGGTGGCGGAGGCCCTGGAGGGAAAGCTCTCTCGGCCAAGGGCTCAGGCGCCCCCCAGGACAGTGACTCCAGTGCCACCTGCAGCGCCGACGAGGTGGACGAGCCCGAGGGGAGCGACAAGAACAGGTGAGTGTCGGGGTGGCGGGTTTCTTGGCACTGTGCAGGCACCCGTTGGGCACCAGCCGTGCACCAGGAAGGGCTGCAGCTGCCCTCAGGGAGGGCAAGGGCTCCACGTGGGCAGAGGGCCACCGGGGGGCCCAGGAGGTGGCCGCTGAGCTGAGTCTTGGGGACATGTTTCTCCCTTTCTTACCTCTGCTTTGCTCCTGGCGTGGGGTGCCTGTCCTTCCCCCCAAATCCCAGGAATGCTGGATTTTAACCACTTTCAGCACAGATGCTTTGGGGACCCCGAGGCCCTGGCCAGACCAGAGCATGTTTGCCCGAGTTGGCCGGTGGCCAAGGACGGAGCAGGCCCCGCGCGCCTCCGGACCTCCTGTTCTCCAGGGAGGCGGGCGGGTCACTCCGATCTGGGCGGAAAACAGCCCGGTCTTCTTTCTGTCCTCACGTCTGTCGGAAAAGTTCTGGGCAGAGCGAGAGGGAGGAAAATCTGACTTTCAGATCCGACGCATTCACTGGGAGCTGTTTCCTCTGCCCCATGATTCACCTTGGGGCATGTTAAAATGGCAAGTTCTAGAACATTCCGTAGGAAAAACAGATTCGGTCAGCGCTCTCTCCGTCTCCATCTGTTCCACTAGAGTAGGTGAGCCACGTCAGCCCCTGCTTCCTGCGGCCTTGGTGGCCACCGCTAACCTGTCCCTGTCTGTGTGAGAAGTGGGGGGCCCGGGGGGGGGCTTGGACAAGCACAGGCTTGGCCGGTAGGTTTCCGAAGGTGAGGAGCTCCCAAGGTTCTTGCCCAGCAGGCCCTGCTGGGAAAACAGTGCTCAGGCAGCTCCGTGCATGGGAAGGCCCTCGGCCAGGCCGGCCCGGCCACTCACTGGGCCTGGGTGAAGGGTTCGGGGCGGCGGCTCCCCGCCCCGTCGTGCTGGCTGCAGGGACAGTGGTGGGAACGTCAGTAGGATGAGCGCGGAGCTCTTGGGCAGATGAGCGGCCTCCTGGAGTCTGTGTTTGGGTCCACGTGGCCAGCCCAGGCTGGAGGGCCGGGAAGGCTGGCCTGAGTCCCAGCAGCCTCGGGGACCCCTCAGTCCAGGCCCAAAGCCCCACGGGCACCTTTCCGCCTCCCCCCCTCTTCCAACAGCCCCACCCAGGGACGTGTCCTTCCCTCCCAGTCAGGCCTGGCTTTCGTCCACCCTTCCTGCCTGAATGTCCAGCATTCGGCCTCCTGGGAGCAAGGGCCTCGGGCGGGAGTCAGGACACCTGGCTTGTTACGCCCTGTGTGACCCAGGCCGGTCCCCTCCCCGCGGGGTGAGGCTGGACTCAGGCCAGCCTGCTGACCTCTTCCTGGCTGGCAGTCCGCCACCCAGCCCGGCCGAGAGATGCGTCAGAGCAGGTCCTGGCAGGCAGGGCCCCCAGCAGTGCCGGTGGGGTGGGTGGGCCCCGACGACCCCGGCTCCTGGCTGCCTGCCCCGGCCCGCCCCGCCTGGCACCCAGCACAGTGAACTGGGCGTCCCTGGACACTCAAGACGATGCTGGTCCCGACCCTGCCTGGCTACATCCTGCCTCCGCTCCGTCACTGCCGGGCAGCTGCACCGGGTTCTTGGCCCACAACCAGGGATAGTGGTGGTGATTGCAGAGGCCTGAGCTCGCTGCCCGCCCGCCCCGCTCCCCAGAGGAGGCGCCTGAGCACTTTGTGGGAGGGCCGGGCGTTCAGGAGGCCCCTTCCCCTGGGACTCAGCCTTCCCATTGGCAAAGTGGGCATGGGCGTCTCCACTTAGGGGTTATTGTGAGGACAATGGAGTTAACCGCCATAAACTGCCCACCTGGTGCCAGGCTCAATGAAAAATGTGCTGCCCTCCTTTGGAACTACTTCAGGACCCCCACCCCCACCCCCAAAGGTTGCTCCAAGAGGGGCCCAGCGTGTGGCTTCTCCCACCGAGCCCCTAGAAGTTTGGGAGAATCACAACAACACTTTCTCTCTGATTTCTTTATGTTAAACTGGGCACCACTGTGCGCCACGCACCAGTCTAGGCTTGAGGTTGCTGGGGACAGGACAGTCGAGGTGCTGAGTCCAGGGAGCTTACGTTCCAGTCACAGTGGCTCGTCTGAGACCGTAACCGTAAAGGAAGGAAGGGATGTTCGTGTGATAAGTGGATGATGGAAGGCTGAGGGCGGTGAGGGCAGGGGAGTGGGCAGAGCAGTCAGGAGGGGACAGTGCAGGGTGATCAGAGCCCTCAGAGTGAGGCCTGGGAGGGAAAGCAGCGGGAATAGCCTGTGCAAAGGGCCTGTGGCCCATTGGCTTGTATTCCGTGGACAGTGAAGAGGCCTGTGGCAGGGAGTGGAATGGGGGGAGGGCAGGAGAGGAGGTCACAGAGGCGGGCAGGGCCCTGTGGCAGGGTGAGGAGTGGAACTTTGTCCTCAGGACATAACATGACTGTGGGCACTGTTCATAGACCCGCCTTCATCGCTCTCCTACCTTAGCTTGGCGGCAAGGAACATGGCAGCCCGGTGATAGTGGGAAAGCTGAGAGGGGGCGCACACAGACCCAGGGTGCCCCTTTGCCCAGACCCCTCTCCCCGTGCCCCCGGCCCCAGCCCTGCCTTCCAGGATGGGAAGTAAAGCCATAGTGACGGGAAGGTCGCCTGACCCGTTCAGCACCAGGAGCTGCTCTCAGCACGTCCTGTGCGTTCCCTCCTGTCACTCACAGGGTGTGACAGCTCCTACCCTGTACAGAAGAGGAAACTGAGGCACGCTTGGTGAAGTCACGGGCCGAAGGCAGGATTTGAACTGGAAGCCCAGGCCCTGAACTACAGGGCCGGGTAGTGAGGCCGGGTCCCAGCTGCTCCGCCGACGCCCCCTTTCTGCCCCTCCTGGGTCATGTGTGCCCTGCCAGGCTCCCAGGGAGGAAAATAAAAGTCACTGTCCCCCAAGAAAACAAAGGGAAGAGTGGGAGGGAGGCCGACCCCATGAGGGGGGCTCCTGGAGGAGAGGGGACAAGGGCAGGTGGGGTCACATGGATGCCCAGCATCTTCCCGCCCCCTCAGTGGCTCAGGACCCTCAGCGGGCCATGGATCGGAACTGGACGGATGTTCAAATGCTACTCTCTACAGCGCTGTGCCTTGTAAGAACTTACTTTGTATCACTACAAAGTTACATTTGCACAGTTACAAAGTTTTATGTTTTAACAAACAGTTGTATGACATTGTTACTTTATTGTTTGTAGAAACAGTATAGTTACTGTGACAAACCTTAGGTTTCAGGGCTAGCATATACTAAGTTACCATCTTAATTCTTGTTTTGGTAACAGCTTTATTGGGATATAGTTTACAAACCACGTGATTCAGCCATTAAAGCACCTCACTGGCCCTGGCCGGTGTTGCTCAGCGGTTAGAGCGCCGGCCTGCGGACCAGAGAGTCCCGGGTTCAGTTCCCACTAAGGACACATACCTCGGTTGCAGTTTGTCTGCAGCCCCAGTTGGGGTCATATGTGTCCCCCCGCCCCATCTGAAGATGCGTGCAAAAAAATTGTCCTTGGGTGAGGATTAAAAAAAAAAAAAAGACAGTTCACTAGATTTTAGTATATTCACAGCAGCACAACCATCACTATTTAATTCCAGAACATTTTTATTAACCCTTGACTCCCTTCAGCCCGCCCCCAAACCTTATACCCATTAGCAGTCAATCCTCAGCCCCCGCCCCCGCCCCTGGCAACCACTAATCTACTTCCTGTCCCCATGGGTTTGCCTATTCTGGGCACTTCTTACAAATGCAGGCATGCAGTGTGTGGCCTTTGTGTCTGGCTTCTCTTGCTCAGCACCATGTTTTTGAAGTTCACTCACGTTCTAGCTATAGTGAGTTGGTACTCTGTCCTTTTTTATGGCTGAGTAGTATTCCACTCTATGAATAGACCACATTCTGTGTCTCCTGTTGTCCTCTGGGGTCATCTGCATTTGCTGGCAGCTGTGGATGGTGCTGCGGTCTTCCGGGAACCAGTGTCTGGATGTTAGCTCTTAGTTCTCTGGGGCACATGCCCAGCCGTGGAATTGCCAGGTCAGAGGGTAGCTGGGACTTGCCTTTTGAGGAACTGCCAGGCTGTTTTCCAAACTGGCTGCAGTGTGTTTACTTTTGACCTGAAGTTCACACACTCCGGTTGTTTCAAGTGTAGGATGATCGTGCATGTGAGGGGAGGGCTGGCTAGGTTTGGGGGCAGTCGTTGTGGGTGGAGGTGGGGCTGCCCACAGGCGATAGTGCCGTGCTTGGACCTGATCAGGTGCTGGCCTGAGGGAGACGGGCCTGGGCCCGAGCCCAGGGGAGCCAGGACAGCAGCAGCTGCAGAAGAGGCTTTGGGTGTCCCTGGGAGTGGGAGCGGGATCTGGAGGGGTCAAGAGAGGTGAGGATGGGAGGCAGGACGAGCCTGGTGGGGAGAACCGTGGAGGCCGCTGAGCGTGGCTGTCGGGGTGACCTTCCCCTGCACTGGCCCCACCTGCACGCCGTGGGCAGCCGTCGCTGTGCAGCCAAGCGTGTGGCTGATGCGGACGCAGGCTGGTGCCCTCAGGACTGGCCTGTCCCAGGCTGTGGGCCCCCCACCGAACAGGGAACCTAGGCCAGGTGTCACGTGTCTGCTCCCTCCACCTGCTCTGTGTTGAGTGTTGGGCGCTGGTTGCTGGGCACTGGGTGGCATGGGCGTGTCCCGGTTGTCCCGGGCCTCACCTCGAGGTCGGTGGCTGTGCCTGCGTCTGCGTGGAGCCTCGGTGTTCACCGTGCGCAGTCGGGGCTGGGCCGACAGGACCCTCCGCCTGTGGAGAGTGGACTTGGCTCCGCCGTCTGGCTGAATCCCAGCCCACAGCCGATTGCCCTCACGTGCTGATTGGCCGTCCAGCTGGCTCTGATGCCGAGGGCACACACCACCTTCTTGGTCTCCGTGCACCCTGAGCGTGGTGCTGGGCCAGCTGTGCTCAGCACGTTCAGGTCGCCCAGAGGAATCACGAGCTGGGCTGGAACCTGGCAGCCCCAGCGGGCAGGCGAGGAAGCCAGATGGGACCGTGTCAGGGCACAGAGCCCGGTGCTCGGTGTCCTGGAAATCCCTGAAGACTTCCTGAAGGAGGTGGCACCGCCCATAAGCAGCTCAGGAGCCTGGGCACCACAGCCCTACACCAGAGTGACCCTGTGCCTGGCACCTGTTTTGGTCCTGCATGTGCCCTGCATGCCAGCAGCAGACAGATGTGACCTCCCTGGGGGACGAGGCGTCTGCGGGCCCAGCTCAGCACCACGACCACACTCAGGGCTGATGGGTGGACAGTGTACACACTGGCCACCTTCCCCACGGAAACCTGTGGCCTGCTTGCCCTTAAGTTCTCAATTAATGGTGTGTGAGCAAGAGTCCAGTTAGCGGAATGTTCTGGTAAAGCTGGTGGGCTTCCCAGCTCCTGTCTCCAGTAAGCAGGGCCACTCGGCTCCACACCGTGTGCCCTGGGAGGCTCGATCCCCTCCTCTGGGCAGTGAGCCGTCTGCCCGAGCGTCTGACTCCCCCAGCCTTCCCCCGGCGGACGCTCGGCAGCTTCCGCAGGGCCGTGCGTGCTGTGGGCCCTGCAGCCCTGCAGCCCGGCTTCTCTGGGACTTGGCTTGCCTTGTGCCGTCGGGGATGCTGGACCCCGACCCGGGCCTCTGGGCAGCTCCTGGGGCCTGAGTGGACTGGAGGAGGGGCCCCCGCCCCAGTCCCACCCCGGAGACCTGGCAGCCTGCTGACCCTGGATACTCCCTCCTCCCCATGGCCCAGGCCCGAGCCAGGAGAGGCCAGCTGAGCCGGAGCCGTGAGCCTGATGCTTGTCTCCCCCGCAGGCTGGTGTCGCCGCGTCCCAGCCTCCTCTCCCCGACTGGCGACACCAGGGCCAACGCCTCACCCCAGAAGCCGCTGGACCTGAAGCAGCTGAAACAGCGCGCGGCCGCCATCCCCCCCATCGTGAGTGCCCGGCCCCCACCTCTGTGCCCAGCGAGGCAGCAGCCCCTGCCCGCCTGCCCTTCCCTTCCTGTCCCGGGCAACAGCGGCTCCAGGGCCAGGCCAGGGCCCGAGCTCGGGGCGGGCAGGGTGGCCCCTGAGGCCGCCTCCTGTTTCCTGGAGAAATCCCCATGGAGACCAGGGCCAGTGGGGGTGGGGCTCCTGGGAACGGGGGTAGGGCCTGCAGATCTCAGCCCCTTGGAGGCCCTGGAGCCCCTGGACCCTCCCACCAGGCCCCACCCCCACCGCACCAGCACCCCGCACTGGGCAGTGGGGAGGCAGGAAGTCACCCGCCACCCCACCTGTCACAGCACCTCGGAGAGCAGGTGGGGGCCCCACAGTTGTAAACATGAGGTCCTTTGAGGAAGGCCGGCTCCCTGGCAGCGTCTGCAGGCCGAGGAGGGGCCTGTTCCCAGGGTGGCCCAGCCCCACTGAGCTGCCCCCAGGAGGTGGCCGGCTTCCCGGTGCAGCTGGGGCTCGGGCCTTCCGGGGAGGACCTGAAGGCGGGCGCGTCTCCCCAGCCCCCACCTCTCTGAGACCCAGAAAGACTTGGCATCGGGCCGGTTGGGGAGGGTTACCACCAGGCAGCTGGCTTGGGGTGGTGACCTGTCCTCCTGACCCCCAAACTCTGTGCTCTGGGCCTGCCCCTGCCTTCCTTGGCCTCTGAGCCGGGCTGGCCACATACAGGGGACCCGGAAGACTTTTCCCGATCTCGGTGGCTTGTGACGATGCTCACTTCTCTCTGCTTCCCTCAGCAGGTCACCAAAGTCCACGAGCCCCCCCGGGAGGACACAGCTCCCCCTAAGCCAGCTCCCCCTGCCCCGCCGCCGCCGCAGCACCTGCAGCCGGAGAGCAGCACCCCCCAGCAGTCCAGCAGCAGCCCCCGAGTCAGGAGCAGGAGCCCTGTGCCTCCCGCCGAGAAAGAGGGTGAGCGCGCCCGGTGGCCGGGAGCGGGGACTGTGGGGGCCGGTGGCGGGATGGGGGCATCTGCGCATGTGCAGCAGTTTGGAAACGCAGGCCCAGTGAGTCGGTGAGACGGTGGGTGAGCAGTGGGGGTGGGTGGGGACTGCGGCCGTCGGAGACCTCCTGTTCTTTCCAAAGGGGGCCCGTGTCCGTCTGAGCCCAAACCCACCATGTTGGCACCGTGAGCCTGATGTTTTCCGTCCAGAGACCAGAAATCTCTCCTTTCATACTCAGCCTCTAGTTTCTCAATGTTTGTTTGGCAGCTTTTCCACCTTCTGAAAGCTTTGCTCTGCGCACGGAATCGCGCCTGGGCCTCAGCCGGGCTCCGTGCGGTCCGGCCTCCAGCGAGCGTCTCGAACCACAGACGGGGCTCGGTGCCCAGCTGGCAGCAGCCCGGGCAGGAAGCCCTGCCCTGTCCAGCTCGCATCCTGACCTCAGCCCAAGCCGAGGGCACTGGGTTCACTGGAGTGGTGGGGTGGCTCCTCGCGCCGCTGTCCCAGCAACTGGCCGGGCTTGTTCCTTCTCTGGGTCTGTTGCCCCTGCCCCACTCCGCAGGGGCCCGAGGAACGCTGAGCCTGCGCCCCCAAAGCGCGGAGGATGCTGTCCCCCAGGCTGGTCTAGCCCCAGCTCCCTGCTGGCTGCTCCAGGAGTCTGAGGGCAGCAGGACCCCAGGCCGCCCTCCCTGACCAGCGCAGCCGGGGATGGGCCCAGGCGGCCGGTGCCACCTGCGCCCACCTGCTTAGAGTCCAGCGTCCCTCTTCTGGAAAGCCAGGCCGGCCTCAGCCATGGCCTCCTTGCAGGGGGTGCCGTGTGCCTGTCCGAGGACAGAGCAGGGCTGGCCCTAGGAGGACAGCCCCACGTCCCCCAGGGACACCGGCTGGCCCGGCACTCCTGTCCCATCCCCCACTGCTCCACCTGCCACAGGAAGTCTCGGGCACCAGCCCCTCGGGTGGGCATGCCTCCTGGCTGGCCCACAGACTGTGCTGTGGCCACCGAGCCAGAGCATTTGGTGAACACCTACCGCTGCCCAGCAGTGTGCCGGGCAGTGGGGCACTGTGAGCAGGGTCGCGACCCTGCTCCAGGAGCTGCTATTTCTGTGAGCAGCAGGACGTTAGGCCAGGGCCAGGGAGGGAGCAAGATGGGTTAGGGTTGCTCACACCGAGAGAGACAAATGGGGCTTGAGCTGAGGGCCCGGGAAGGGCTCGGGGGGGGGGGGGGCACTGCAGGCAGAGGCCTGGGGCGGGGGCGGGGAGCTGTGTGTGGGCCCGGGTGTAGGTCCTCCAAGGCTGCGCCCCGCAGCGCTCTGTCTCGGTGCAGCAGAAGCCTTTGCTGCAGGAATCTCCAGGGTGTGTCTGTATTTTGGAAAGACCTCTGGCCCTGTGGGGGAGAGAGGGCTGCAAGGAGTCCAGGCAGCAGAGAGAGGCCACCTGGAGGCGGGGTGGGCGGGCACTGAGTGCGTCTCAGAGGGCAAACCGCCGGACCTGCCGCCGGGTCCGTGTGGGAGACGGCAGATGCGTCTTCTGGGGACCTTGCCCCGTCACCCGTGCTGGACGGGGACACCTCACGACGGGGGTGGGGTTTGCTGAGTGAGGGTGCGATGTGAGACGCGGAGTCTGGCCCCAAAAGAACATTCCAGATTCAGGGTGCCAGCCCAGGGTGGGCAGGGGCCCAAACAGCTTTGGCCAGTGCCAGATGTGTGCAGAGCTGGGCTGCCCTTGGGTGCCCGGGAAGCTCCCGGTGCCCGTGCTGGGGGAGGTGAGCCGCCACCCACGGTGCCTGAGTCTGGCCCTCGGCCCTTTTGTGTGGCTGCTGTTTCCTGAGTGGCTCCCACAGGAGCCGGTGCCCCTGGTGGCACCCGTGCCCGTCCCTCGGGGCCTGGGCTCCATCCGGTGCTCCTGGGCACACGTGTGACCGCGACACCCAGCACTGCCTCTCTGGCCAGCCCCTCGGGCTCCCCTGGGCCCTGCTGGAGGAACAGGTTGTCTTTCCAGGCCCTGGGCTGCCTGCCCGGCCTGGCCTGGCTCCAGGTTTCCCTTCCAGCACTGCCCCCTCCCCCCCGCCCCTGCACAGAGTAGCCGAGATGCACGCAGGGTTGCGACTGGACCAGCAGGTCCGGGGTGTTCACAGGATTTCCCAGCACCCCGTGGGGCTGGCTGAGTGAGAAGCCCCAAAGCCCGCAGCTGAGACCCCTCCTGTGGGCCCCCTGCTTCACCCGGGCAGATTCAGGGGACCTTGTCTCAGAGCAGCGGAGGAGGCGGTGCCCACAGCAGGCCCCGCCCACGGCGGCGGCTCTCCCCTGAGTGATGGCTCTCGGAGCCTCCCTCTGACGTCTGGAGGTGGCCCGAGAGGTGACTCCTGCCTGCCATCCCCGTCCTGGGCCTGATGTTCCACATGTGCCTCCTGCCCGCTTCTCGGCCAGTACCTCCTCTGGGCGGCTCCTCAAGCTTGACCCCATTCCCAGGGAGGAGGTTCAGGGCGGAGTGCAGGGGACACCCTGAAGGCAGCCCCGAGCCCCTGGGCCTTGGCTGTGTCCACGTGGCCTCCCCAGGCCTCTGAATCCGAGTCAGTCACAGCCCCCATCCTGCGGGCGGTGTTGCGGCGCAAGTTAAGGTCACGGTCTGCAGCCGACTCCCTGGACGCAAAGCTCCCTCTGCCACTTGCTGGCTGTGGGCCTTGGACCAGGTGACCTCCGCTCCCTGAGCCTGTTTCCCAGGTGTAAACCAGGGACAGTGGTCGTCAGCCCCTTGCAGGGAGTCTGGAGGACAGGTGAGTCGCACACCTGAAGGCCCCGGATTGGAGCTGTGGGGGCTCTGGGCACCTGCACCTCTGTGTGTGTGTGTGTGTGTGTGTGTGTGTGTGTGTGTGTGTGCGCTCTGCGTGGACCACGAGGTTAAGGGGTCATCCTGGCTTGGCCAAATATTTGCTGATGAGCTGAGATGAGTCCACAGTTGTGACTGTCCATCCCCTCTCCCCGGACAACCTGGGGACAGACTCTTCCTTAGGCTGGGTGTCCAGAGGCTGGGTCCGGGGCTCAGCCCCTCCTGCCCCGCCCCTGCCGCTGTCACACCTCCATCACCCACAGGGGTCAGCAGGCTTTTTCTGGAAAGGGCCAGATTGTAAACGTCTTTGGCATTGCGGGCCAGACTGTCCGTGTCGCAACGGCTGGGCTCTGCCGTGGGTGATAAATACGCAGGCGGACGTGACCGGCTCCAGTGCAAGTGGCTGTAGAAGTCAAGCACGGGCCCGGCCACCATCGGCCGCCCCTCATCTGGAGGTGTCCGGGCCAGGGCCTGCAGCTCCCAGCGTCGGAACCCAGAAGCTCCCCGGGGTCTCGAGGGGTGCCGAGAACCCCGGCCCGGCCGCAGGGCTCGGAGCGGTGCCCTGCCCGGTGATTTGGGAGATTCCATCACAGACACCCCCCTTTGTCATTGGGCCGCGACACCGCCCCGCCCAGGGCTGCACTGTGGGCTCAGTGAGGGTCACCGGTGCGTGGGGCGGCTGTGGCTCTGGGGTTCCCACGGGCTGGCCTAGCACAGCTGACTGTCCCCCCTTGTCCCCTCGGCAGAGAAGCCCGTGTTCTTTCCGGCCTTCGCAGCAGAGGGTCAGAAGCTGCCCACGGAGCCCCCGTGCTGGACGTCGGGCCTGCCCTTCCCCGTGCCCCCTCGCGAGGTGATCAAGGCCTCCCCGCATGCCTCTGACCCCTCGGCCTTCTCCTACGCGCCTCCCGGTGAGTGGCTCTCCGAGCTGGGGCGCGTCAGCCACCACGCCGGGCCACCGGCGCCGTCCCTGGGCGCCCGCTGTTGGCGCGGCTGGAGCTCTGTGCCGAAGGGGCTGAGGTCCACAGGACCAGCCTTGTCCGTGAAGGCACAGGAGGGGCTCACTGAGACCTGAGACGCCTGGGGGTTGGGTTGAAGGGACTGGTGATAAGGAGCCATCGTGGCCCTTGACAGGGGCGGCTCCGCCCTCCACAGTGACGCAGAGCCCTTGACGGGCGGCTCCGCCCTCCACAGTGACGCAGAGCTAGCGAACGGGCGGCTGGAGAGAAACCCTGGAGAACACGGCTGCTTCGGGGTCCGGATGTAGTCAGGCCGGGTTTGAGGGCCTCTCTGGGCTCTCCAGCCCGGCTAGGCCCCCCGGCAGCGGGGGGTGGGGGAATCCGTGTGAGCAGAACCGATCCTGAAGGCCGCTGGGCCAAGGGAGCCAGAATCAGGAAAGACATGCCAGGCAGAAGGGACAGCATGTGCAAAGGTCCGGAGGCAGGAAAGAGCAGATTCAGCTGGAGAAGCTGAGTCAGGCGGCCGTGGTTGAAGCCTGGTGCCTGGCACTGCTGGGGAGACCGCCAGCCCCAGGTCGGGTGACCCCGAAAGCCGTGTTGGAGGTAGAGACTTCATGCTGGGGGCAGTGGGAGCCACAGCAAGGTCACAGCAGGGAGGACGTGAACCGGGGGGCATTCTCCAGAGATCCCCCTGGCTCCTCTCGGGGAGTGGATGTTAGAGGGTAAGGAAACGGGGAGCCCAGTTAAGGGGTCTGTGCAGAGTTGAGAGGCTAGGGCCTTGGCGTGACCGGGTGGGGGTGTCAGGAACAGGGGCAGCAGGGGCACCCGCGGGTGTTTACCTGCCTGGGCAGCACAGGGCGGCGGGCGGCGAGGCCGGGGGTCTGTCCAGCAGGGGCACGATCACGCCGGGGCCCTGTGATGGACAGACCTGTGCTCTGCAGGTCACCCGCTGTCCCTGGGCCTCCACGACAGCACCCGGCCTGTCCTGCCGCGCCCTCCCACCATCTCCAACCCCCCACCCCTCATCTCCTCCACCAAGCACCCTGGTGTCCTTGACAGGCAGGTGAGTGTCACCCCCGGGGAGGCGGGAGGGGCAGCCCCCAGGAGCGGCAGTGCAGCCTGGCACCCGCAGAACAGCCCCTTCCTTTTGGAGGTGCCGTCAGTGGAGGGGGGCCTTCTGGACCCCTGGGGTCTGGCTGGGCGCTGCGCTCAGGTCCAGCTGGGCTGCAGCCTCCGCCGGCACTCAGGGTCACTCCACGGTCACTCCCCGGGGCAGCCCAGTTCATGTGCTCTGCGGCCAGACTGTGTGTCCCTGGGAGTCACTCAGCCTCTGTGCCTCGGTTTCCCCTTTGTGCGATGGGAGGCAGTGTCCTAGACACACAGCGGCAGCGCTGAGCCTCGGTCCGAGCTGTCCGGTCCTCCCGCTCCCTGCCCTGCCCCGTGCAGCGCGGGGAGAGGGAGGTCGAGGCCTTGGCCTGGGCCCAGGCCGCTGTGCCGTCCCTTTAACCCGCGCCCGTGGCAATGGCCACTTCGCAGGTGAGGGGCCGAGGCTCCGGAGAGGCCGGGGCTTGTCCGGGGCTGCTCACTGGGGCATCAGGGCCGGGACGCGAGCCCCCAGCCTCTTGGACCTTCTGTGATCCTGAGGTCCCCCCGGGCCCTCCTGAAAGGGGGCGTCTGGGTGCTCTGGTTGGGCTGGGGCCTGTGACCCGATTACCTCTGTCCCCGCAGGGACTGTCGGTGCAGCTCCACATCCCGTACTCAGAGCATGCCAAGGTCCCCGTGGGCCCCGTCACCATGGGGCTGCCCCCCGCCATGGACCCCAAGAAGCTGGGTAAGGATGAGGCTCCCCATCGGGACGGGCCAGGTTGGTCCCTGTTGGATAGACCCCTGGGTCAGCCAGCTGTTGGGAGTCGAGGGGGGGCTGCGTGGCTGGTGGGACTCGGGCCTGAACTTGGGGGTGGCACCCTGGGTCCCCTGGGTAGGCGGGATGGGGGGTCCCAGCGCGCTTGCTCACCGCTCTCGCCGTCCCCAGCGCCCTTTAGCGGGGTGAAGCAGGAGCAGCTGTCCCCACGGGGCCAGGCTGGGCCACCAGAGAGCCTGGGGGTGCCCACGGCCCAGGAGACATCCGTGCTGAGAGGTGAGGCCCGGGATCTGCCCTGTATCCCCAGCTGCTGCCCCTCCAGTCCTGAGAGGGTCAAGGCAGGTACGGGACCCTCTACCCGAACCCTGCTCAGAAGCCTCAGCCCCCCGAGGGTCCAGGAGCCCCTTCACAAGCGCCTACCTCGCCACTCGGGGCCCGGGGTCGCTCTTTGTGGAGACTCTGAGAGGCTGGCAGATCACCAGGAGCACGGTCGGGGTACCTGGGGCCGGGCCTCAGGCACCCCTTCAGCCCCGTCGTGTCTCGTGTCTTCCAGGGACGTCCCTGGGCTCGGTTCCAGGAGCAAGCATCAGCAAGGGTGTCCCCGGCACACGGGTGCCTGCCGAGAGCCCCATCACCTACCGCGGCTCCATCACCCATGTAAGTGCCCGGGGTGCGGCGGGAGGTCCAGGTGGGACCCTGACCGTGGACGGAGCCGGGGACCAGCCCCGCTGTCCCCTCTGCGTAGCTGCATGGCGCCGGTCGTGGTGGGTGGGGTGACGTCCTCGGTCAGCAGCGCTGCCCCCACAGAGCCCGCCCGGTGGCAGGAGGGAGCCAGAATCCTGGCCCAATACTGAGCAGGTGAAATTAGTGCAGGTGCTTCGGATCGGGTCAGACGCTGCGGATGAGGAGGCGGAGGGCTCCTGAGTCCACAGCGGGCAGACCTCTCGGGTGTGAGCCTGCAGGAATCTCAGGGCGCAGCGTGCCAGGCCCGGGAATGGCACAGGCAAAGGCCGAGAGGTGGGAGGGTCCCTGGCGTGTGCAAGGACCACAGGGGCCGGGGTGCTTGGAGCAGAGGCGTTGGGTCTGGGAGGGTGTGGGGGACAGGGAGAAGGGTGCCTGTGCCCGCTGAGCCCAGGGTGCGTCCTGGGGGTCGGGGCAGGCACTCTGCGCTTAGCCTGCCCACGCTGTGGCTCATCCCCTCTGTCTGCGACTTCAGTCCCAGTAGCAAGAGCGTTTGTCTTGTGCCATCATCGAGTGTGGGGTGTCCACAGCCTGCGGGCAGAGCCGGGCCCCCCGCCACACTCAGATACACAGAGAGCACTGGGACCCGCCAGCGACATCCGCCCATCCAGGCTTGGCGGAGGGGCCCTTCCGAGCCTCTCCTGGGTCGGAGGTGGGGGTCCAGTTCTCCACCGGTCAGGGTTCAGGGCTCCCAGGTCGCCTGGAACCCACCCTTGCCACCTTCTTCCCTCCCCCAGCGCCCCACGGGACTCCCCCTGGGCACCGCCTGCACTACCGCCCCTTGTGGGTGAGGAGACAGAGCTGACACACCCTGAGGTCACGGGGCCAGTAGCTTTGTGCTCCGCTGCGTCTGGCTCTAGAACCCTGCACCAGAGAGTGGGGTGCCTGAACACGTGTGTGCACACACAGACACCCTCTCACTTAGAGAAACTCGCAGGCGTGTGCGTGCACACACACACACACACACACATGCGCACACACACACCCCGTGGCACTCCAGGCCACGGGCTGCCTGGCAGTGAGCTGTTTCCCATCCTTTGGCCTCAGATCCCACCACAGGAGGGTCGTCCACACCCCACTTCTCTCTGAACCCGAAGGCTTGGAAGCCTCACGCTTTTGCAGCCGCGCCAGGTGCCGAGAGCAAGTACCTGGGCGCGGAAGTCAGGCTGGGTCCCAGGTCCGCCACACCCTCGGGCTGGGGACAGCCCCTCCCGGCCTCGGTTTCCCTTTTGGTAAAAGCGGCCTTCGCAGAGCCGTCCCGATGGACTCGTTGAGATGACAGGTTGACACGTGCCGTTCCTGGATGCCCGTCTGCCCTGGGTTTCCCGGTGACCGACAGCCATCTCGGTCACTCACACCCATGAGGTTGTTTTGGGCAGAAGCCAGCGACTGTCAAATGTGTGGGGGTCAGACTGTCCCACAGCCCGGCTGCCAGGTGGTACGAAGACCACACCTGCTCACACACGTTAGCCCACGGGGCTGGCAGGCAGGGACCACCCGTCCCACCAGAGGCTGAGGCCCAGCCCCTGGCTCCCAGGCGCCCCCTCCGGCCTCGGGGGTGGAGGCTGCAGGCCATCAGCGAACAGGATGTCCCCTTCAGGAGTCCGTCCAGCGCGCTGTCCCCCAGCTCGGGCGCTGCTGGCCTCACCGGCTCTCTGCCCTCTGTTGGGCGTGCAGGGGAGCCCTCTCTGAAATAGCGTGGCTGGAAACACGCGATGCCGGAGTCACCCCAGGGGAGCCCCTCTCCGTCCGCGTGGTCTCACCCGAGGCTCCGGCGGTGGCCGTGCCCGCGTCATTGTCCCCCAGGAGCCTCCTGACAGGACGTCTCGGCCCCCTGGTTGTAAGAGGCGGCTGCCCGCCCCTGGTTCACACCCAAGTTCTCTCCTGTTCACACCACAGGTCGGTGCAGGAACAGTTTAAAGTGCAGGGAGGTTCTAACCAGAGCGTCTCTGGGGAAGTCGGCGCCAGCTCTTTGCCCTGCGCAGACCGGGGTAGGGGGGAGAAGCCCAGGGCGGCCAGCAGCTGCCTCTGCCCCCCAACGGGCTGTTTCTCAGCAGAGAAAGTCCCACGGGGAGGCGGGGTGTTCATGGTCCCAGGCCTGGCACACCACTGGGCCCTTGAATGGGCTCTTGGAATCACAGGAGCAGAGGGACATCTTGACTCGGGACAGCGGGTCTGTGCGGGGTGCCTTTGAGAGTCATGGATGCAGAGATGGGCTCTCTGGTGTGGTGTGTGGACTGGGGTTCAGAGAGGCAGAGTGACATCCGAGCGGTCACACAGCAGGTTCCTAGTCTGACCCCCACGCTCGTGCTCTGGGAGGTCGCCGAGGCGGGTCCTGCCAGCGCAGGTGGACACGTGTGTGGATGTGGAGGGCCCCCACGTCCACACACTCGCCCTCCGCACCCCAGGGCACTCCGGCTGACGTCCTGTACAAGGGCACCATCACCAGGATCATCGGCGAGGACAGCCCGAGCCGCCTGGACCGCGGTCGGGAGGACGGCCTGCCCAAGGGCCATGTCATCTACGAGGGCAAGAAGGGCCACGTCCTGTCCTACGAGGGTGAGTTCTGTCCCCGGACCTGCGAGGAGCCGGCGGGGCGGGCTGGGCTCCCTCCCTCCCACTCACCGTGTCTCGGCTGCCCCGGAAAGACTTGACGTGAGAGGCTCGTGGGACCGGCGTGGACTGGGAGGGCTGGGGACACATTAAGTCCCCCTCCGAGGGCTGCCGGGACGCGCACAGGAGTTGCAGACGGGACGTCACCTTGTTAATTCTGAGTCATGGAAACCTGCCCCGCCCAGCGTGGCTCGGCCACCCAACCCCAAACCTCGGTGTTTCTGGAGCTGGTGGAGGTGGGGGAGGGGTCCAGAAGAGCGGGGTTGAGGCTAGAGGGCAGCCAGGTGGGAAACCATGGAGGGGGGAGCGTGTGGCTCCTCCGTCACCCCCGAGTGGCTGGAGGGTTGTTGTCCTGTCACGGAGGAGGAAGCTGAGGCTCGGTGACACCCAGGGGTCCCGGGGCCACCCTCAGGCCCCTGAAGAGGAGAGGAAGCCCGAGGTCAGGGGAGGAGTGTGTGTGGCCTATTGAGGTGGCTTCACAGGGAAGCGGGGCTGGGGTCACACCAGGAACCACATTCAGAGGTGGTGACCTCCCTGTCCCTGCAGGTAATCAAGCCAGCAGCAGGTAAGGGTTGGTTTCAGCTGCCCAGTTCTTTACAATGTAGGAAACACACTTGTAGCCAGCCTGGCGGGGAGCATAGTGGGGAAACTGAGGCCCGGGGAGTGGAGGCCGGGCCCCCAGCCCAGCACTTCTGACAAACGTGTTGCTAGTGGACAGCGTGTGCGTGGCCGAGGTGGTGATGACCGGTGACCCGCCTCGCACCCCAGGACCCTGCTCAGGGGCCCCTCCGCTCCTTTCTTTTCTGGTTCTGGGTCTCACAGCTGAGGGGCCCTGCGTGGAAGGAGTTAAGGGAGTGATGCTGGATGACAATTTCCTGGCAGCTGTAGCACCCAGGGGTGTGGAGATAAAAGCTGCTAATGGGCCCCTCTCAGCGGCTGGCAGCTGCGGGCCCTGAATTACTTCCCCTCTGGCGGGCGGGTGCCTGCTCCTCTCCGCCGCCTTCGCCCGTGCCCGTCTGCCCCCACACTGTGTGGCTGAGGCACACACCACCTGCTGCCAGGAGGTGGGGACAGCCTGGGGACCGTGCCAGCCTTGGTCCCCGCTGCCTGCCCTGGGCGCTGACGGAGGGCCTGGCGGTCGAGGTGTTGTGGGCAGAGAGCGCTGAGCGGAACCTCCACTCAGGCCCCCAGGTCCCTTCCTGGGCCTCTGTGGCTCAGTTTATCATCTGCTAAATGGGCTTTTAACTTCTCATGCTCCTTTGGCCATGTGGCCGGGGCAGCCGGGGGCCTGGGCTCGGCGACCTGGCGAGTGAGGGCTATGTCCCTGGGGCACCTGGACACATGTGAGCCCGCCGGCCAGACTTCCGGTCTCCACGTGTATCCGAACGCGCGCTGTGTTCAAACACCAGCAGCTGATGCTGGGGAGAATCGATAGCCGCAGCGCACGGTCTGCTGGCCTCCCGTCCGCAGTACCCGGGGCCGCTGGCAGGTGCTTCGAGGACCCCATGAGGCACCCAGAGCCCAAGCCCAGTCCTCTGAGAGCCGGGGCGGAGGCCCCAGCTCGGGGACCAAGACTTTGCCCTCCCAGGCTCCTCGGCCTGTCCAGGGGCAGTGAGCCTGGCTACAAGTCCTCACCCCGCTGGGCTCATGGGCTTGGCGAGGGCACCTGTGCCACGGACACGCCTCCCGCCCTCCCTCCGCCAGACACACCCTTTCCCCACGTGGACCTGTCGCGGTGCACATGCTTGGGCACACGCCTGCACGCACAGAGACCCATACCAGCACACGGAGGGGGGTGCATGCCGTGTGTTCACACGCGCGTGTGCTCATGTTCACGTCACATGTGCGCACCTGTGTGTGGGCGTGTCTGCACAGGCTCACGGCAGGGCACATGCCTGCTTACAGAACGCCTGGCCGCTTGGCTCGGCAGGAGACATGCCTGCCTCTCCCGTCTGTAAATCCCCAGGGCCCGAGGGAGGTGGGCAGGGCCCTGTCCGCAGCCCCTGGGCTGGACCAGAGGTCTTGGACTCCACCGGGAGGGCCCAGCTGGGCCGGCTCTCTGCTGCATGGTCGGGGGGCTGTGACCGGCCGGTTTGCCGGCCTCAGGCCTGTGCACACGATCGCCCCGTGGCGGGCCCTCACCGTGAGCTTGGCCTGGTTTCCAGGTGGCATGTCTGTGTCTCAGTGCTCCAAGGAGGACGGCAGGAGCAGCTCGGGACCTGCCCACGAGGCGGCGGCCCCCAAGCGCACCTACGACATGATGGAGGGCCGCGTCGGCAGGGCCATCACCTCAGCCAGCATCGAAGGTGGGTGTCCAGCCTGCTCCAGTCCCCAGAAACGCCAGGGAGCCTGGGGCTGGGTCCAGCCGCACAGGAGGACTTTGTCTCTCAGCGCCCCCTGGAGGGAGATGGGGGGATGGCCGGCCCCATTTACAGAGGGGGAGGCTGAGGCTGGGTTTTTCCGAGACTCTATCTGGGCCCAGGAGATGGGACCGTCGCTTGCTGTGTTCTCTGCCACCACCCCCTGTACCATGGGGACTGCTGGGAGGGGTGGCTGTGCCCCTGGCCCGTCACTGCCCAGGGACGGCTCAGGGACCCACGTTAACCATGCTCTGGTCCTTCCCAGGTCTCATGGGCCGAGCCATCCCCCCTGAGCGACACAGCCCCCACCACCTCAAAGAGCAGCACCACATCCGCGGCTCCATCACGCAAGGTACCCCCGCTCCCCGAGCCTCAGGGTGGCTACGACGAGGTGACAGTCAGGGCGGGGACCGAGGGGAGACGTGCCCGTGTGCGTGACCGGTACAAGGTCGAAACGGGGAGCTGGGCATTTCTTATTTGAAAAGAAAAAGGGAACAGACTGCCCCCCACCCGCCTCGCGAGCAGACATCTCGTAGTGACCGCCTACTGTGTGCTCGCACTAGCCCGAGCCCGCTGCAGGGTACCTACGCAGAGGAAGGCGCCGTCGGTGGGAGGGTCAGCGGTCAGACCTGGGGAGCCCCCCGCTGCCCGCCCCGTCTCAGTTCTTCATATTATCCCGTTAAGGTTTGCGGCCAGGGAGGTGTTCCGGTCCATGTTGCCATTTAGTATATGGAGACATTGGGCTCAGCGAGGTGAAGTCGTGGGATTTGAACCCAGGTGGTGTGGCTCCCAAACCCCCAGGTCAGGGCGCGCCAGGTGGGGCGCGGGTATGAGGGCAGCACCCCGTCCTCTCGGCAGGGATCCCACGGTCCTACGTGGAGGCCCAGGAAGACTACGTGCGCCGGGAGGCCAAGCTCCTGAAGCTGGAGGGCACGCCCCCGCCGCCTCCGCGGGACCTGGCCGAGGCCTACAAGGGCCCCCTGAAGCTGAAGCCGGCCCACGAGGGCCTGGTGGCCACGGTGAAGGAGGCTGGCCGCTCCATCCACGAGATCCCCCGCGAGGAGCTGCCTCTGGCCCCGCGGCCGCTCAAGGAGGGTTCCATCACGCAGGTACCAGCCTGGCCGGGCCAGGGTTCCGGAGGGGCCGTGGGGATGGGCGGGCACTGCCCTGGCCTCTGCACATGGGGAAACGGAGCCCCAAAGTCACACAGCTGCTGGGTGCTGGGCGTTCGCCGTGTGCATGCCAGATTCTGTGCAAAGTGCGACCTCACTCGCGGGTGTGCAGCCCACAAGGTTCATACCCTCGATCCCCACCCTCCACGCAGACGCCCAGGGTCAGGCAGCTTGCCGAGACCCCAGGGCTCAGCTGGTGATGAGGGATGAGGGGCTCTGCCCGGCCCTCACTTTCTCTGAGCAAAGCAGTTCAGGAGGTTCCGCAGCCTGTCCGGGGTCACACGGCACGTCCGTGACAGGTGTACGTCTCAAATCCAGCTGCCCCCAAACCTGCAGCATCTTTGTTCTGCGGCCTCCATCCCCAGCGTCCACGAGGCCCGGCCTGGCTCGGGGAGAGCAGCTGGCCAGTGGGGACCACGAAGGGCCATGGTCCTTCCCTGGGGACGGCAGAAGCTGTGGGGGGCTCCCGAGGGCCAGGGGACAGTGTGGCTCTTGGCCTCCGGGCCCTGGGGCCGTTGGCAGGAGTCCATCACGGATCCAACAGGGACGCCGGCCTGATTCTAGAATATTCTCTTTTAAACGAGGGCGTTGCCCTTTCTTACAAAAGGAATGAAAAACATTCCCGAGGAAACGGGGCTGTGTTACTCGCAGACCCAGGGCCCCTCCGCATCCGGGTTTCCCAAGCCGCTCTGAACGGGGGGGCCTCCTCACAGGTGGCCGGGCTGGGACCTGACCGGTGTCTGCAGCTGCCCTTCCTGCTTAGTGAGCAAACATGAACCTCAGCCCCGACCTCCCAGCCTACGGCTTGGGGCGGAGGAGCCAGAACCAGCTGTTGAATCTCCTGGCTCGGCCGTGGATGTGGGGGGGCAGACAGCCTGGAAGAAGGGTTTTGCCACGTGGGGTGTTGGCCCTCCAGTGAACCCCAAGGCCAATACGGGGTCCCCTACTTGCTCCAGGGAAGGCTGACCTCTGACCTCTGTGCCGTCCCCCAGGTGGCTCTGGGGCCGAGGGCAGGACAGGGAGGGTGTGCTCATCTGAGGCCACTGCACCCTCCAGTGTGGGGTGTGGCTTCCCACGTGTGGCCCAGCAGTGAGGCTGAGAGTTATGCAGCTGGTGCTCCCCCCCATCCCGCAGGGCACCCCGCTCAAGTACGACACCGGCTCATCCTCCACCAGCTCCAAGAAGCATGACGTTCGCTCCATCATCGGCAGCCCCGGCCGGACCTTCCCGCCCGTGCACCCGCTGGACGTGATGGACGCGCGGGCGCTGGAACGCGCCTGCTACGAGGAAAGCCTGAAGGGCCGGCCGGGGGTGGTCAGCGGCTCGGGGGGCTCCATCACCCGGGGCGCCCCCGTCATCGTGCCTGAGCTGGGCAAGCCACGGCAGAGCCCCTTGACCTACGAGGACCACGGGGCACCCTTCACTGGCCACCTGCCACGAGGCTCACCCGTGACCACCCGGGAACCCACGCCACGCCTGCAGGAGGGTGTGTGGGTGCAGGGGGTGGGGAGGGGATGGGCTCCCATCTCGGGAAACCACCTGTTTCCACTCAGCTCAGTGGGGACCCAGGGGCACCCGCCACGCTGCCACATCCATTCCGTCTGTGAGACCCATGGGTTCTGCTCCAGACCCTGCTCAGAACCCTCCCCTCTCCTCCACCATTTCCCACCTGGCTTCCCCGCTGCCCTCCGACCCCGTCCTGCTCCTCAGACGGCAGCGACGTACTTTTCTAACGAGCGTCCATCCGACTATGCCGCTGCTTAGATACTTCGAGTGACCTCTCGCTGCACTTGGAAGGGAAACCGACCTTTCCCACCTTGGCCCCGGGGGCCGCAGGGTGGGCCTGCCCGCCCCTCTGTGCAGAGTACATGATGCGCCCCAGGCCCAGCCAGGGGCCTCCTCTGCTCCCAGGGCCTTTGCACCTGCTGCTCCCCTCCCCGTTCCAGATCTTCACCTCACTGGCTTCTTGTCATCCTTCAGGTCTCTGTCCAAGAGCATATCCCCAGGGAGGCTCCCCCCAATGCTGGCCACACTCATTCACACTCCGTGTTCCCCGCTCTGCGGCCCTCACTTGATGACTAGTTTATCCTCTGTCTCCCACGTGAAACGTCAGCTCTGGGGGCGGGAGCTCCATCCGCTGGGTCTGTTCCCTGGCCCAGCCCCAGCTCTCAAATGGGGCTTGGCAACTGGTAGAGGCTCCGGGAGTGTGTGTGTGTGTGTGTGTGTGTGTGTATACACACACACATACATATATGTGTGTATACACACACACACACACATATTTTTTTTGTAAAGAATAATTGTATTTATTTATTTTTATTTAATCCTCACCCGAGGATATTTTTCCCATTTATCTTTAGATAGAGTGGAGGCGGGCGAGGGAGAGAAACATCGACTTGAGAGAGCCACATCGACTGGTTGCCTCCCGCACAACCCCGACCAGGGCCGGGGACGAACCGCAACTGAGGTACGGGCCCTTGGCTGGAATCGAATTCGGGACTCTTTGGTTCGAGGGCCAACGCTTGAACCACTCAGCCAAACTGGCCAGGGGGCAACCAGGAATCTTTTTTGATTGATTGAATGAATGTTGATTTTTTTTTTTTTTTAATTACAAAAAGAAGCAAAGGAGACAATGATTAAAAACAAAAACGAGCCCTGGCCCGTGTGGCTCGTGGCTAGAGCGTCGGCCCGAGGACCAAAGGCTCTCGGGTTTGATTCCAGGTCAAGGGCACGCGCCCTGGGTTGCAGGTTTGATCCCTGGCCCCGTCAGGGTGGTGCAGGAGGCAGCCAATCATGTGTCTCTCTCACATTGATGTTTCTCACTCTCTCTCCCTTTTCCCCCTTCCCTCTCACTCGCTCTAAAAATCCATGGAAAAATATCCTGGGGTGAGGGTTAACAAAAAAAGAACTAAGAGGCAAATAAGTGGGTAAATGAAAACACTTGGTCCTGGGACCCCAGAAACCCCCCGCCCAGTAGCTCCCCATACACACTGGCCTCTGGCGGTGCTGTTGGGTTTGGGACAGCAGGGGCGCCGAGGTCTGATGCCATCCCCACTCTGCGTCCACAGGCAGCCTCTCCTCCAGCAAGGCGTCCCAGGATCGGAAGCTAACGTCCACACCCCGTGAGGTTGCCAAGTCCCCGCACAGCTCTGTGCCCGACCACCACCCCCACCCCATCTCACCCTACGAGCACCTCTTCCGGGGCGTGAGCGGAGTGGACCTGTACCGCGGCCACATCCCCTTGGCCTTCGACCCCACGTCCATCCCCCGCGGCATCCCCCTTGATGCAGGTGACTATCGGGGACCCACAGAGCCCGAAGCTGGGGGCTGGGCTTCCTTGGCGTCGCCCAAGGGCTCCTCATTCATCAGCGAGGCTCCGCTATTTGGGGAAACAGGCAGACAGCGGGGGAGACCCAACGGTGCAACCGTGTGAATTGATGGCTTAGAATTTCGTACGAGTCTGGGGGACACGTTGGCTTAAATATTTTTCAGTGGTTTCTTTTCCTGCGGGACTTGTCAGCACCTTTAACATTGCAAACATATCCAGAAGGCTTGAGCGTGGGCGTTCCCCAATAGGACTTGACTAGAAAACCTGTGTGAAGGGCGCCCGTGCCCTCGGTGTTCTGGTGATCCGCCTTTCGGATGTCGTGTTTGGGAGAACGTCTACCCAGAGAACACCGTCAATGAGAGCTCCCCATGTGTTTGGGGAGCGACTGTGTTTTACTGGGGGGCCTCAGTTCTGTCTTGGGTGTTTTGGGAGACACTGTCAAGGTATGGGAGTGGGGGCCGTGAGGTCAGGTGGGGTGACGTGCTCTGACGCTGGGCCCCTCTCCCAGCAGCCGCTGCCTATTACCTGCCCCGGCACCTGGCCCCCAACCCCACCTACCCGCACCTGTACCCGCCTTACCTCATCCGCGGCTACCCGGACACGGCAGCGCTGGAGAACCGCCAGACGATCATCAACGACTACATCACCTCGCAGCAGATGCACCGCGATGCGGCCACCGCCATGGCCCAGCGCGCCGACATGCTGCGGGGCCTGTCCCCGCGCGAGTCCTCGCTGGCGCTCAACTATGCAGCCGGCCCGCGAGGTGGGTGGCGCCCGGTGCTGGGGCAGGCGAGCGGCAGGGCACCGGGCACACTGAGAGCCGGTCCTCTGGGAGGTCTGGTGGTGTGGTTGCCCCGAGGGCACATGCAGATCCCGCTGGCGGGGGAGGGTGTGCGCCGCGTGCGCACGAGGGTGCCATCCCGCTGTGTGCTGTGCCTCCACGTCCTAGAGGTGACCAGAAAGATGGACAGGAGAGGCTGTGGGGATCGTGGTTCCCTTGACTTGCAAACAGCCTGGGGTCGCCTTGCGTGCGCGTACTGCAGCCGTCCTCTGGGGAAGCTTCTCGAGCGTTCCGGGTGCCCGAGCACGCGTTAGGCTCCGGTTGGAGAACTGGTCTCACCGGGCATTTCAGAGATGGGGAGTGAATATAACGATCTGAGGCTGAAAGCAAGAAGGGCCACAGTACCGGGGTGGGGGGAGAGGCTGACCGCCCGGCACAACCACTCAGGCTTGGGAGCAGCAGGGAGTGGGCGCTGGGAGCAGCTGGCATTCAGCAAAGGGTCCTGCGGGAGCAGCGCTCGTACCTGGGAGGGAATGCCCAGGTGTGTGGGGGGGTGAGGGCACCGAGGCCTCCACTCGTAGGGTGGTCCCACCAGGGGGCCCCTCCTCCCCGTGGCTACAACGCCCCTCACCTCCCACAGGCATCATCGACCTGTCCCAAGTGCCACATCTGCCCGTGCTGGTGCCCCCAACACCAGGCACGCCAGCCACCGCCATGGACCGCCTGGCCTACCTCCCCGCCGCACCCCAGCACTTCAGCAGTCGGCTCAGCAGCTCCCCACTCTCCCCAGGTAACCCCTTTAGCCCCCTGTCCTGGGTCAGGACCCTGGGGGCCGAGGACCTGGCTGGCTGGATGTCCTCAGGCAGATGCCCCGCCCTGTCTGTTCCACCCCAGAAGACAAATCCAGGCCCTTCCTGGACCCTGGGGCTGAGCCAAAGTCCTTTTGGTTTCCAGGGGGTCCCACTCACTTGACAAAACCCGCCACCACACCCTCATCCGAGAGGGAGCGGGAGCGAGACCGTGATCGGGAGCGCGAACGGGAGCGGGAGAAGTCCATCCTCACGTCCACCACGACGGTGGAGCACGCACCCATCTGGAGACCTGGTAGGCACCTGAGAGCCCGCCCCAGCCTGGGAGTCCCCGTGGGCCCCCATGGGCCCCGTGAGGCCTGCCCCCTGACACCACAGCCTGTCCCCACCAGGTACAGAGCAGAGCAGCGGAGGCGGCGGTGGGGGTGGGGCCAGCAGCAGCAGTCGCCCCGCCTCCCACTCCCACCAGCACTCGCCCATCTCGCCCCGGACCCAGGACGCCATCCAGCAGAGGCCCAGCGTGCTGCACAACACGAGCATGAAGGGCATCGTCACCTCCGTGGAGCCCAGCACGCCCACAGTCCTGAGGTGGGCCAGGTTGGCACGGGGAGGGGACAGGTTGGCGGGCGGGCAGGTGGTGGATGTATACAGGTGGCCGCATGCCCAAGCTGACCCACCAGTTGGGATAGATGGGCAATGATGGGTAGAGAAGTAGGTAGATGGTGGGTGGTGACTGGATGGGAGGTAAGTAGGTGGGCACTGGGTGGACGGATGCTGGACAGACCATGGGTGGGTATGTAGCAGGATGAGTAGATGAGAGGACAGGTAGGTGAATGAGGAGGTAACTAGATGGGTGATTGGGTTAGATGGATGTATACGTGGATGGATGGATGGATGGGTAGATGAAGAGGTGATGAGTGGGTAAGTGTATGGGTGACAGGTGAGCAGGTAGATGGTGTATGGTCAGGTAGATGGGTGGGTGGATAAGGTAGATGAGTAGGGTAGATGCTGATGAATTGGGTGGATGGATGGTGAGTTGGGTAGATGGATTGGGTGGATGGATGGTGAGTTGGGTAGATGAATTGGTTGGATGGATGGGGAGTTGGGTAGTTGGATGATGGACTGGGTGGATGGATGGGGAGTTGGGTAGATGGATGATGGGCTGGGTGGATGGATGGTGAGTTGGGTAGATGGATTGGGTGGATGGATGGGGAGTTGGGTAGATGGATTGGGTGGATGGATGGTGAGTTGGGTAGATGGATTGGGTGGATGGATGGGGAGCTGGGTAGTTGGATGATGGACTGGGTGGATGGATGGGGAGTTGGGTAGATGGATGATGGGCTGGGTGGATGGATGGTGAGTTGGGTAGATGGATTGGGTGGATGGATGGTGAGTTGGGTAGATGGATTGGGTGGATGGATGGTGAGTTGGGTAGATGGATTGGGTGGATGGATGGGGAGTTGGGTAGTTGGATGATGGACTGGGTGGATGGATGGGGAGTTGGGTAGATGGATGATGGGCTGGGTGGATGGATGGTGAGTTGGGTAGATGGATGATGGGTTGGGTGGATGGAAAGTGAGTTGGGTAGATAGGTGAGGATTTGCCTGGGTGGATGGATGAGTAGGCGGGCAAACTATTGGGTTCAGGAAGAGTCTGGAGAGAATGAGAGACTGTGGGCTATGAGGAGAGATTCCCCCCCCCCCAATCCTCTCCATAATTCAGCAAGGCCCTACGAGGATGAGATGGTGTCCTTCTTGCCTGAACAAAATGCAGAGGTTCTCTTAAGATAGAAGAAGTGCCCCCAGAGCCCACTTACTCTCACAAGGAGCCCAGATCCCCTCTGGTGGCAAACACCAAATACTCTAAGGACTGTGGGCAGAGCTTAACTCAGGGAGGAGGCTTTCCCAGTATCCCTCCCTGCCCACGGGCCTGTTTAGATGCTCTTTCCATTCACACCTGCTCTAAATCAGGACCCACCCCCACGACTCCCATTATGAAAAATGACAGTGTCAAAATGACAGTGTCGTTTCCTAGAAGCTCGGCCTGTCCTCGGGGGTCTCTCGTCTCACCCAGCTGCCTCGCGCGGTCGCCACACTCTGATAGGGTTTAGTTTGCACGTGAACATGTCTAGGGTCTGACTTCTCAGCTAGGGTGGAGGTTGTTTTTGTCTGTTTTGTTCATTGCTGTGTCTCTGACACCTAATAGGAGGTCAATTAAAAGTGTTGGAGTGATGGAATGAATGAATGAGTGAATGATCGAGTGAGTGAGTGAATGAGTGAGTGAGTGAACGAGTGAGTGAGTGAATGCGTGAGTGAGTGAATGCGTGAGTGAGTGAGTGAATGCGTGAGTGAGTGAGTGAATGCGTGAGTGAGTGAATGCGTGAGTGAGTGAGTGTGTGAGTGAGTGAGTGTGTGAGTGAGTGAGTGAATGTGTGAGTGAGTGAATGTGTGAGTGAGTGAATGTGTGAGTGAGTGAATGCGTGAGTGAGTGAATGTGTGAGTGAGTGAGTGTGTGAGTGAGTGAGTGAATGTGTGAGTGAGTGAATGTGTGAGTGAGTGAGTGTGTGAGTGAGTGAGTGTGTGAGTGAGTGAGTGAATGTGTGAGTGAGTGAATGTGTGAGTGAGTGAATGTGTGAGTGAGTGAATGCGTGAGTGAGTGAATGCGTGAGTGAGTGAATGTGTGAGTGAGTGAATGCGTGAGTGAGTGAATGTGTGAGTGAGTGAATGTGTGAGTGAGTGAGTGTGTGAGTGAGTGAATGCGTGAGTGAGTGAGTGTGTGAGTGAGTGAGTGAATGTGTGAGTGAGTGAATGTGTGAGTGAGTGAGTGTGTGAGTGAGTGAATGTGTGAGTGAGTGAATGTGTGAGTGAGTGAGTGTGTGAGTGAGTGAGTGAATGTGTGAGTGAGTGAATGTGTGAGTGAGTGAATGTGTGAGTGAGTGAATGTGTGAGTGAGTGAGTGAGTGAGTGAATGTGTGAGTGAGTGAATGCGTGAGTGAGTGAATGTGTGAGTGAGTGAGTGTGTGAGTGAGTGAGTGAATGAGTGAGTGAGTGAGTGAATGCGTGAGTGAGTGTGTGAGTGAGTGTGTGAGTGAGTGAGTGAGTGAGTGAGTGAGTGAATGCGTGAGTGAGTGTGTGAGTGAGTGTGTGAGTGAGTGAGTGAGTGAGTGAGTGAGTGAGTGAGGAAGGTACGGTCATGCCCCACAGGGTGCTGCAGGCCAGCGTCAGGAGGGTGGGTTTACCCACGGAACATGGGGAATGCAGAAGCTGTTCCAGGAAGAGGGACTCCCCCCGGGTGTAGGAGTGACAGTGACTCAGACCCCAGCTGTGGCCCCTACAGTCCCCTGACCCCCCTCTCCTCCCCCAGGTCCACTTCCACCTCCTCGCCTGTCCGCCCAGCCGCCACATTCCCACCCACCACCCACTGCCCGCTGAGCAGCACCCTGGACGGCGTCTACCCCACCCTCGTGGAGCCCATCCTGCTGCCCAAAGAGGCCCAGCGGGTCAGCCGGCCAGAGAGGCCCCGCGGGGATGCCGGGCACGCCTTCCTCGCCAAGCCCCAGGCTCGGGTGGGGCTGGAGCCCGCCTCTTCCCCGGGCAAGGGCTCGGAGCCCCGGGCCCTGGCGCCGCCCAGCTCCGGCCACGCGGCCATCACCCGCGTCCCGGCGAAGACCCTCGCTCCCCACCACGCCAGCCCGGACCCGCCCGCGCCGCCCGCGCCGGCCGCCGACCTGCACCGGGAAAAGACTCAAAGTAAACCCTTTTCCATCCAGGAGTTGGAACTCCGTTCACTGGGTAAGACCACCCTGACAGCGGCCACCTTCATAGACGCGATAATCATGCGTCAAATTGCTCACGATAAAGGGTCGCGAGAAGGAGGTTCGCTGGCCAACGACTCCCCTCGCGATGGTAAGACTTCTGGCCCCGCCGCCCCCCCACCCCGTCTTGTGGCCTAGAGATATCTCCAGATCTCTGCTTTTTATTTTCCCTCCCATTTTTCGTTGGTTTTGGTATTTGGTTTGGAAACGCGTCTTCGTTGGTTGCACGCTGACGGTCCCTCGAGCTGCCGCCCGCCCCCGCCAGCGTGGGGGGTGCCCCATCATCCGCACATCATTTTATCATGGTTTTCTTTGATTTCCTTTTTTGGATTTTTTGCTTTTTTTTTCCTTCAATGAATGAATCTGTGGTGTTGACTTCCACCGCGCCCCCATCGCCCCCCTTCCGCCTTCGTCTGGGGAGCAGGGAGTGGGCTGCGGGCTCGGGCTCCATGTACGCCGTGTGGATGGCTGCATTTGGTTTGAAGGACACCTGCCCACGGGGAGGGGGGGCGCCCCACTTCCCAGGAGGAGCTGGGAGCCCGACCCCTGCATCCTGTGCAGGTTGTCAGGGAGCCCGGGAGGCCCTGGCTCCCTCTCCCCCTTGCTGACCCGCCACTCGCATCTGGGAAAAGGGGAGTCCTCTGTGCCCTGTCTCCTACCTCCAGCCCCAGCTCGGGGTGCCTCTTCACAGGACTAGGGGCTGCGGAGGCTGCCTAGGGTCACCCTGCCACACCCCCCCACTGACCTCACTCCCTCCGGCCCATCACGGCTGATGCACCCCTGCCCCAGAGACTGGCTCGCCCTCCCCACACCTGCCCCTCTGCCCACGCCTTTGGGTTTGTCTGTCCGTCCATGTCTCTCTCTCGCTGTCTCCCTAAGTCTGTCTCCATCTTTCACTCTGTCTGCCTGTGGGTCCCAGTCTCTCATTTTTTCTCCATCTGTCTCTCTCTGTCCTCTCTCTCCTCTCTCAGTGTACCCCAACCCCTGGCCAGCCAGCAGCCTCTGCCCCAGTTCGCCCCTCTCTCCATCCGCCCAGACACCCCACTCTGGCCTGGGGGACCAGCCAGTGTGGCGGGCAGGGAAGGGGGCTGGGAGGGCAGCCCGGCTTCAAGCGGCCGCCCGGCCTGACCCTCAGCCTCTCCCTGCTGCAGGTTACCATGGCGGCAGCTACAGCCCCGATGGGGTGGAGGCCGTCAGCCCCGTGAGCTCTCCCAGCCTGACCCATGAGAAGGGGCTCCCCAAGCACCTTGAGGAGCTCGACAAGAGCCACCTGGAGGTGGACCTGAGGCACAAGCAGCCAGGTGGGGCCCCTCCTTGCGCGGGCACCCCCACAGCCCTGCGGGACAGACCGTCGTACCCCATCACACACAGGGAGACCGAGGCACCCACGCGGGAGGACGGCGCTCTCTGGGCACACACCGTGCCCACCCCACCCCTGACCACTCTGCTCTGCCCACAGGCTCTGGGAAACTGGGTGGCGAGGCCGCACACCTCCCGCACCTTCGGCCGCTGCCCGAGAGCCAGCCCTCCTCCAGCCCGCTGCTCCAGGCCGCCCCCGGGGTCAAAGGGCACCAGCGGGTGGTCACCCTGGCTCAGCACATCAGTGTAACTACCCCCCCTGTCCCCTCCCATCACCTCCGCATGTGGGGCAGGACCAGACCCTGGGGTGGGGGCGGAGGGAAGACCACACACACACACCCCTTGGTCTGATGGGTAAACTGAGTCCTGGTGGGGTGGCTCGGGGATCCCCGAGTCTCAAAATAGATTCCACAGCCGCCCCCCTCCAGCTGACGGAGCCTCAGCGTGAGCCCCCAACCCACCCCCGCCAGCGGGTGGACCCTCCCCGCGCCCACGGGGCCCTGAGGCTGCTGGGCGGGGGACCCCAGAGCTCAGTCTAGCCCTCGCCCCACGGAGTGTTCTGGCAGGCGGATGGCTGCCACCTGACCCGGTGCCCCTCCCCCGCCCGCAGGAGGTCATCACGCAGGACTACACGAGGCATCACCCGCAGCAGCTCAGCGCCCCCCTCCCCACGCCCCTCTACTCCTTCCCCGGAGCCAGCTGCCCCGTCCTGGACCTCCGCCGCCCCCCCAGTGACCTCTACCTCCCGCCCCCGGACCACGGCGCCCCAGCCCGTGGCTCCCCGCACAGCGAGGGGGGCAAGAGGTGAGTGGCTCCCGCCGCCAGTGCGCCATGAGAAACAGGCCCGGGGAGACGGGAGCACCGGTTCAGGGTCCCGGCCGGGAGATAATAGCTGGTATCCGTGGGTTCCAGGGACCGAGCCAAACACCTAACACGTGTTAACCAGGACTCACCACAGCCCCAGGAAGTGTAGGCAGCATTGTCCCCATTTCACAGATGAAGAATCTAAGGCGTGAGAAGTGAACTCACTTGCCCACAGGGACACAGCCAGTAAGTGGCGGAGCTGGGATTTGAACCAGAGCCGTGTGACTTGAGAGCAGCCTCCCAGCGGGCACACACACTCGCCCCAGGTCACCCCTAGCCCCTCGGGGTTGCAGAGGAGAGGGAAGGTCCCCAGCTCCAGCGGTGACGCCGTTCCGGGTGGGGGGCACCGGCTGAGTGAGACAGAGGTGGGGAGACGGCAGGATTGCTGGGGGGACCGTGGGGTACCTGGCTCTGGGGTGCAGGAGGTATCTACAGACGTGTGTCCATGGGCCCATCCCGCCCGCGGCCTGTTTGCGTACAGTCCACGAGCCGAGGGTGGCTTGCCGTTTTCGAAGTGTTAACAAAAAGAGAAGAACATGTGGCACGGACCACAAGTGGCCCACAACACCGGAGACCGGCCTGGCCCTTCCCGGGAAAAGCGTGCTGAGCCCTGGCGTAGGGGGAGCCCAGCTTGAGCGGAGTGGAGCGAGGGATGCGCCCCCTCGGGGGAGAGCTCCGAGCTCTGACCACAGCCGGGACCCTTTCTGTGCTCAGGTCTCCAGAGCCGAGCAAGACGTCAGCCCTGGCCAGCAGTGAGGACGGCATCGAGCCTGTGTCCCCACCAGAGGGCATGGCAGAGCCCGGGCATCCCCGGAGTGCCATGTACCCTCCGCTGTACCGGGACGGGGAGCCGGTGGAGCCCAGGTACCTATTGGCAGCCCCCAGCACCGTGGAGGCTCAGGACCCAGCCCCTGGCCCTCCCTCGGCCTCGAGATTAGCAAAGGCTTCAGTGTGCAGCCGGGGGGCCTCCGTGGCCCTTTCCCGGCCCTTGTGCTGGTGTCTCAGGGCAGGCCAGGCCCCGGCGCTGGCACACGGGTTAGAGAAATGAGCTGAGTTGGTGGACCGAGCTGGGGCCCAGGGTGGGGCAGAGGCACACAGCTAGGCCCGCTGGCCTTCGGAGAGACATGGTCTGAACCGACTTCCGGTTCCTGAGTCCCTTTTCAGGTGTGTGTGGCAGGAAGGGCTGTTGCAGGTAGACAGGCCCACCAGGGCAGCTGGGGTTCTCCAGAGATTCCAGGACAGGTGAGCTGCAGGGACAGTGCAGGAGATGTGGTCCCTAAGGGGTGGGGATGCAGCCAAGCCCTGGGAGGAGTTTGGATTTGAATTTCTAAGGCAGCTCAGGGGGTGAGTTCCCCGTCATCAGAGGTGTGCAAGCTCCACTCGAAGGGAACTGACCCGGGTGTCTGATCCTCGAAGCAGGATGGGCTCCAAATCTCCAGGCAACACCAGCCAGCCGCCAGCCTTCTTTAGCAAGCTGACCGAAAGCAACTCCGCCATGGTCAAGTCTAAGAAACAGGAGATTAACAAGAAGCTGAACACCCACAACCGGAACGAGCCAGAATACAGTAAGAGGCCACCTGTGGGGCCGGGAGCCGGGTTGGGGGAGGGGCTTCCCAAAGCCAGGTGGGCCAGGTGGACCGCTGCCCGCCCCTGCCACGGCCCTTCACCTGTGTTCTCTGCTGGGGCGCTACCTGGCACAGAGCACGGCACCTTAGACAGTGCCCGCACACGGGGGCACTCGGGGAATACGAGCGTGAACGGCCTGTGCTCAGCCCCGTACGGGCACCAAGCATTGGGGTCAGAGCCCGACAAGGGCCCGTGTGTCCCCCGTTCACAGTGGTCGCCCCGTTCACGGGGTTAGTGCCGTGAACCAGGACAGCAAATGACAGGAGGCTGTCACAGTCCCCGGTCTCAGGAAGCCTCGCTGGCCAGGAGAGCTGAGGCCTCCCGGAGGCTCTTCTCCTGCTGGGACCGGACTAGGGACCTCGCAGATAGTCACTGGGCCAGGCCGGTACCTCCAGAGCCTGGGCACGTCGGTGCACAGGCCCGCAGGCCGGCAGCCCGAGGGAGCTGGTTAGAAACACGGCCTCAGGACCTGCCCAGCAGGACCCGTTCTGCATGAACCAGCTCCCAGGTGTGCACCTCACCGAGACCACACAGGCGACAGCGGGGCTGACTTCCCAGAACTGTCTGCTGTGAGTCTCACCCACGTCCTCCCGCTCCCTCCAGATATCGGCCAGCCTGGGACAGAGATCTTCAACATGCCTGCCATCACCGGAGCAGGTAACCACCCAGCCCCAGCTACACGGCCACCAGCCCCCTCCCTGCCCCTTCCCCAGCACAGCTGCGCCCTGGGGACTCAGGCTGGAAGGAGACTGGGGAAACCCGGCCTCGGAGGGTACTGGATCCTCTCCCCAGCCGGAGGCCTGATGACAGAGGACCTTTCTTAGTTCCGGTGTGTCCCCTCTGAGCTAACCGGCCCTGCAGGGGGGCCAGCGAGGCGTCCGTCTGGAGGGAAAACTCCGAGGCCCCGGTGCGTTCAGACAGACGCACACGGCTCCCCGGGGACCCACCTGGTCACTTGCTGCGCTCGGGTGGGGATGTGAGTGTGTGGACTGGGGGAATGGCCCTCACTCGGGGCACTTGATAGTTACAGCGTCCGTTTGACTTGAAAATTCAAGCCAGGGAGTTGGAGAAATAATACGGTGTATTATGGAGATGGGTCGGAAACACACATTTTAAGCTAAAACCTAAGCTTTCTATAACATTTTGGACTTGTGAGGGCCTGGGGTTGGACCCTAGCCTCCGGTAGGGGCCACACTGCGAATTTCTGGGGGAGGGCCAGGTAGGTCTGAGTCTGATGTTCGGGGTCTGAGCCCAGAGCAGACTGGGGGCTGGTGCCCTCTGTGGACGGGCCCCCTGTGGTGGGGGAACCGGGTGTCTGCAGGGCTGTTGGCTCTGTGCTGTGGTCAGAGGGAACAGGGGAGATGCTGACCTTCCCTGGGGCCCATCGTCCCTGGGACTGTGGTCAGCAGAGGACAGCCAGGGCCTCCGAGTGCGGGTCCCCCGACCGGGTCGTGTCTGTCTCCTCAGAGACACTGGGGGTTTCTCTGAACCTCGAGCAATGGGGAGGAGACAAAATTTGTCCCAAACAACAAGATGGTTAGAAACAAATGTTTCTGGAATGTTCCAAATCTTGACATAGGCAACTAGACACATGGGTGCCAATGTATGTCTAGAGAAATTCACACCAAGGGTACACTGGAAATTGGTGCTAACACTTGTAAGTTATGTTTGACGTTTTTTTTTTTAAGCTGTTTAATGCCCACGAGAAAGCTTTGCCCAGATCCTGGTCTCTCTGGCTGATGCCCAGCTTCAGACTTTGTAACTGGAGATGCCAGACGGTGATGGGCAAGCTTCCTGCCCCGCAGGGTCAGCCCTACGAGCGTGACCTTGGGGAGAAGGCGCACCACGTGTCATCACTGAGACCCCAGTCTGACCGGAGGCGTCACGGCCTGTGTCCCGTGTGACCTTTCCCCCCTTGCCCAGTGTGTGCTCAGTGTAGGACTGCAGGGACTGCGGTCAGCCTCACCGTGCTGGGAACTCTGCTTTTTCTTGAGGACGTGGCCTTTTTGTATTTTAAGTGCTGATGAAATGTGGCCAGGACACAGCGCAATGGCGTCCCCTGGATTCAAAGGAAGTGAGAGGAACTAAAAGGAAGAAAAGAAACACTGTAGTTGCCAATCCGTGGCCACGGAAGCGGCCACGTGGCTGCCTCCGCGGGCCGGCAGGGGCTTGAGACGAGGGGGGTCAGGAAGGCGCGCCTGGCCCGCTCGGCGTCCGCGCGCGCGCAGAGCAGATTCACATTCCCGGCGATGTTGCCCCACGGCTGACCGCTGGGGCGGTGCCGGCCGCGTGTGGTTTAGCAAAACACTCTGCAAAGAGACGCTTCCCCCGGTGTTTGCAAAACCCCCGGACTGGGTCACGGGAAGAAAAGAAAGGGTCGGAACACCTGGCCCGCAGGAAGGGGCTTCGTCGGCGTGGCTTCGGGGCGGGTGTGTGGCGAGATCCGCCTGGGGCCAGTGTGCCGATTGGCCCTTTCTGACCAGGTGTCCGGGCCGGGGCGGCCGTCCAGTAGTCTCCAGCTCTGCCCTGTCCCCTGCACGCACGTAACTGCATGGCTACAACCCCTCACCGTCCTCTCTGCACCTCTTTTTCCTTGTGGCTCCCGGGTGGGGAGAGTTAGGCCCAGCTGGGGGCAGACGGGGCTGAGGGTCCCAGGCCTCGTGGGCAGGGGCATGGGGGTGGGGGCTGCCTGGTCACCTTCCCCCCAGTCTCTTTCCCAGCCCCCTGCCACTCCCGTGTTATGCCCAGTACCAAGCTCTGGCTTGACTTAGTTTCCCAATGGCCCCTTCCCAAACAGGGGGGCCCTCTGATCCCCTTCTTTCTAAGCCACTCAGAATTTTGAAAAAGGAGCAGCCCCAGCTAGGACTAGGGGGGGCAGAAAGGGCCTCCAATTTCCCAGAGTGCAGAGGGGCAAGAAGGCTGGGGCGGCACCAGCCCCCCACCCCCACCCCAGGGACGCCTGAGCGCCCCAGGGCCCCGTCCGCGGGAGCCCTGCCCCCACCCCAGCACGCAGGAAAACCAGGGGGGTAGGGAATGAAGAAACAAACGTGTTGCTTTGCCAAAATGTGCTCACTGTGTATTCTCTCTCCTCCCTCTCTCCCTCTCCGCTGCCCTCTCTCCGTTGTCCCCCTGGCCCGTGTGTCTCTCTCCCAGGCCTCATGACCTGCCGAAGCCAGGCCGTGCAGGAGCATGCCAGCACCAACATGGGGCTGGAGGCCATTATTAGAAAGGCGCTCATGGGTAAATATGATCAGTGGGAGGATCCCCCGCTCGGCGCCAATGCTTTTAACGCTCTGAATGCCAGTGCCGGCCTGCCCTCTGCTATGCCCATAACCGCTGCTGACGGACGGAGCGAACACGCACTCACCTCGCCAGGTCTGCAGGCCGCCTCTGCCTCGGCCCCCCAGCCCCCTCTGTCCCCACCTGGTGTCATTAATCCTCCTGCCTCCAGTGCCTCTCACCGACCCCCTCCAGCTTTAGAGCTTCTGTTTCTGTGCGTGTTTGACGGGGTTCTGGGGTTGGCTGACCCCCTAGCTGTGCCGGCACCCCGCGTGTCCACGTGGCCCCGGCCCCCCTCGCCCACCAGGCCCCAAGGAGCTGCTTTTCTGAAAACACTCACACTGCCGCCCGGGCCCTGCCCTCCCCCGTCCGTCCCTGCTGGACATGGGGGTGCCGTGTCCCACCCTGTCTGTGTGTCTCCTTGGGGGAGATCAGGCTGGAGTGAGGCCCGCCCACTCTCTGTAGATCGGGGGGACCCTGGGCTCACCGCTGAGAGGCCTGCCGGGGCCCCCGTGCATGTCCACTGCTGGCCCTAGGGCTGATGGGAGGAGACCAGTGTGTGCCAGTCCCAAACTCAGAGGGGCCAGCTCCCCTGTGCCCGGGGCACACTGTGTATCAGAGCAAGGGTTGGGCAGAGCGCAGGTCTGTCTGTCTGACCTGCACCCTGCAGCTTCGAGACGTTTCTAGACTTGAGTCCCTGGCCTCGGGGGTCCTGGCTCCCTGCACAGGGCCCGCTGTCTGCCGGCTCAGCGCCGTCCCGGGCAGTGGTCTGGCTCAAGCCAGAGGCCTGGGGCTTCATGCTCAGGGTCTCAGCCGCTAGGTGGGTAGGTGGGCTGCAGGGCAGCCGGAGGGGGCTTTGCAGACAGTCCATCCAGTCCCTCCAGTAGACACCCCGAGACCCAGGCCCCTCCTAGGGGCCCCCTCCCCCCATGGTGTGAGTGGTCTTGGCATCACAACATGGCCCCTTCGCTCATGTCTCCTGCAGGCGGCGGCGGGAAAGCCAAAGTCTCTGGCAGACCCAGCAGCCGAAAAGCCAAGTCCCCGGCCCCAGGCCTGGCCTCTGGGGACCGGCCACCCTCCGTCTCTTCGGTGCACTCAGAGGGTGACTGCAGCCGCCGGACACCGCTTACCAACCGCGTGTGGGAGGACCGGCCCTCGTCTGCAGGTGGGCACCGGGGGGTCAGGCGGAGGCCCCGCCCTGGGCCCCCCCAGCTGTCTGAGCAGCTACTGTGTGGGGAGCTGAGGCCAGGCCTGTGCTGAGAAGCTGCTTGGGCAGTCGGGGCGTCTGGGAAGGGCCCGGGTGGAGGGAACAGACCCAGGAAGCCGAGAGAGGGGGGTGGGCAGGGCCCCGTCCCAGGGCCGGGTGGCTGCCAGGCGCCGGTTTTCTTGATGAGCAGGAGGAGGTGCCTGAGGTTTGGGTGGGGAAGATCTGCGTGGGTTCGAGGGGTCTGTTGGCTGCAGAGCCGACCCAAAGGGCAGGGCAGAGCAGGAAAGCCAGGTCCTGCCAGGGACAGGTGGCCAGGGTGTGATGGCTGGAGGGGGGGCAGGCAGCAGTTTTGAGAAGCCTTCCAGGGTTCAGAGGGGCCAGGACAGCTGTCTGGCACAGGAGGCCCGGGCCCCAGAATCCGGTGTGGCGGGTGGGCCTGTGGGGGCTGCCTGGCTCACCAGGGCCTCCCGGGTCTCTTCTGGTCTTGCTGGCAGGTTCCACACCGTTCCCCTACAACCCCCTGATCATGCGGCTGCAGGGCGGTGTCATGGCCTCCCCACCCCCACCGGGCCTCCAGGCCGGCAGTGGGCCCCTCGCCGGCCCCCATCACGCCTGGGACGAGGAGCCCAAGCCGCTGCTCTGCTCGCAGTACGAGACACTGTCTGACAGCGAGTGACCGTCAGCATGGGGTGGGGTGGCACCAGGGCCCAGCCAGCACCCTGAGCGGCCAGGTGAGGAGCGGGCGGCTGCCGACTCCCCTGATTGAAGAAGGAGCCCCCGAGTCTGCCTGTGCGTCCGTCTGTCCATCCGTCCGTCCAGAGCCGGCATCCTTGCCTGTCTAAAGCCTTAACTAGGACTCCCGCCCCGGGCTGGCCCTGTGCAGTGACCTTACTCAGGGGATGTTTACCTGGTGCTCGGGAGGGGAGGGGCCGGGGAGGCGGCGCAGCCAGCGTGTGGTGGCCACACGTGGAAGCTGGGATGGCCAGGGACCCAAAGCAGGATGACCACGCACCTCCCACGCCACTGCCTCCCCCCCTTAACGCATTTGGAACCAAAGTCTAAACTGAGCTAGCAGCCCCTGCGCCCTTCCTCCGCCCCACCCCGCTTAGCGCTCTGGGCAGGAGGACGTGGCCCTGTCCAGCCCCCAGCGCGCTCGTCCCGGTCCCCACGGGCTGCCCCAGCCACCGAGACTGCTGGAAACCAATTCAGGCCGGACGGGCGGGCGAAAGGGCCGGGTGCGGCCTGGGGCGAGCACTGCTCGGGGAGCTGGACGTTGTCCCCACACTTCGTTGCCGCAGCCGTGGGAAGGAAGGCAGGTGTAAATGATGTATTGGTTTACAGGGTATATTTTTGATACCTTCAATGAATTAATTCAGATGTTTTACGCAAGGAAGGACTTAACCCAGTATTATTGCTGCTGTGCTTTCGATCTGCTTACCGTTCAAGAGGCGTGTGCAGGCCGTCGGGGACCCCACGCCTGCAGCCGAGGGGCAGGGCCGCCAGCTCGCAGCCCCGCCCCCGCCCTCCCTCCCTTCCTTGGGCAGAATGCATTTGATGGGTATTCCGTGACCGCCATCTGCGCACGGCGGTGGCGTTCCGTCATTCACACACATCGTTACCATTAAAAAGCGAATTATACTCGAGGGATGGGCTTCTTCTCTATCTCAGACTGGGCACCAGGAGGGCGGGAGAGTGGGGGTTGAGGGACAGTGGGAGTGTAGCCTGGGGGGAAGGCGCCCCTAACTCAGCAGCCTGGGCCCCTTTGCAGATGAGTATTGAACCCACGGTAGGCTGTCCCCATGAGGGCACGGAGGACTCGGCCACGGGAGAGGCACACGCTGGTTGAGGGTGTCCCGTGTGCCATCACCAGCCGCCGAGACTTGCCCCGCTGCCTAGACGAGCGGACAGGCGAGAGCAGCTGACCTGCCTGGGCCGCGGAGCAGCTGCCCTTTGGCTCCTCCGGCTGCTGGACTCACCTGGCTCAGGAGGAAGCACACGTGCCAGCCGGGTGCCCACGGGAGCCCAGCGAGCTTCAGACAGGCCGGACTCTGCCATGGACCCACGTCCCTTTCCACGTGGGGGCGCCAGCAGCCTCCAGCCCTCCCCCTTCTGCTCCCCGGCATGCATCTGCCCGCCCCCCGCCGGCCCAGCCTGTCTTCATCTTACCCAAGCTCAGCGTCTCGTGTGTGCATCTCACTCCGCTGCCAGGCTGGGTGCCTGGTTCTGGAAGGGCCTTGGGGAGACCTCACTGCCCGCCTGTGCCCTGTCCCTAAGCACAACTGCGCAGGGCGTTGGAGGCTCGTGGGGGAGGCGCTCTGGTGAGGCAGGCATAGGGCATGTGCTGTGGGGCCCTGCGGTGCCGCTCCCGCTGGACTGGCCCAGCTTCAAGGCCCCCTACTACCACCCCGACCCCAGGGTGTCACTGACCTGAGTGTGACCTCTGGTACCCACCCCTTCTCCAATCAGAGGTCAGAGGGCCTGCACCCCAGCAGAGCCGAGGTCAGTCCTGCACTGTGGGGTGAGGACCCCAGCCCGGCCCGACGTGGAGACAGTTGGCCCAGAGACGGGCACAGCAGGCTGAGCGCTGGGGCTGCCCCTGGGACAGGCTTGGTCCCCAGGCTCTGGGAACCTTGGGGAGCTCTGGGGGTGTGGGAGGCGGAGGACTAAGCTTCTCCGTCTGCCAAGCCTGGGGTCCTGGCATCCACCCTGGCCTCGGCCCACCCAGGGACAGACGAGCCTGGATGCCCAGAGGCCCCGGAGCAGGCCAGCACCTGTGGCCAGTGGGCCATGCTCCTTCAGTTCGGGCCCAGGGCCTGTGCCCCTCACCCAACATCAGGCTTCAGCCTCACACTCAGCACTTCCGAAGGGTCTGGGGGCAGCGAAGAAGCAGGGTGCAGGAGAGAGGAATCCCGGCCTCCCAGCAGCCCCCCTGGTGTGGACTGGGAGGTCCAGGGGGGTGGGAGTGGGGGTGGGGAGCAGTCTGCAGACTCAGGGGCTCTGCCCAGCCTCCCTGGCACTTTGTGAGCCTGTGCCATGAGGCAAAATGAGCAGAAGGCTTTGCAGCCACACGGCCTGGCTTCCAGGCCTGGCAGCGACATTCTGTGTGACTCTGGAGGCTCCGAGTGCCCTGGGCCGTTTTCTCATCTGCCCTGCACGTTGCTCCACCGGCACCAACAGGGCTCAGCCTAGCTCTGGGCTGCAGTACTGACGCCAACAGGCAGGTGGCAGTGTCGGGCCAGCAGAGGGCCCTGTTCTGGGCCGGGTTTCCCTCCACAGGGTCTCAAGTGCCCCCACTTGGAACCCAGCGTGGGTCCCGTGGTGCCGGCCGCACCAGCTCCCAGGTGTTGGCCATCCGTGCTGGTGCTGCCCAGGAGCCCCCGGCACCTCCCTCAGCCGTGGTCAGACCAGAGTGATAGTGATGTGTATGAGGGGGTACATGTCTCAGCCGGCATGGTCATCTCTACCAGCCCCCCACCTTCCCCATCTCCCAGGCCTCAGAGTTGGACCCCCATCGAGGGCCAGTGGCACAGACCTTACATGGGGGTGTTTGCAGGGTGTCGGGAGAGCTCACGGCCTCCTGGTGCCCTCGGAGGGTCTACCCCCACCCTGTAGATTCCAGCAGCAACCGGCCAGTCCCCAACCCTCGAAGAGTTCACCCCTCCCATCTTGTTTCATGTTCTCACTGCCCGGCCTCTAAAACAAAGCCTGAATCGTTCACCCAATCCCCATCTCCCTGGAAAACTCCTGCACACACTTCAAAACCCAGCTGGGGCATCACCTCCCCTAGGCATTCATCCCTCCCTGTTTCTCCTTCTGACCCTGAGCCGCTCGGCCACTGTTGACCTGAACTGATACTGTGAGGATCAGAAAATTAGAACGTGATTTGTCAAGTGAAGGGCAGTCGTTGGCAAATGTCCCCACCCGTGGCTTAGAACATTCGGAAGGAAGTTGGTTATAATGCAGGCTCCCGGGACCCACCAAGGGCATGTGAATAGATTCCCTAGGTCCAGGAGGGGCCTGGACATCTGTTTCCAATAAGTAGCCCAGGTGTTTCTCGTGCAGGGGGTTCCCAGCCTCACTATGGGGGTGGGAGTGGTGCACCCCCACCTAGAACCTGGCCCCTTCCGTCTGGCCAGGAGGTCTCCACAGAAGGAGGCCCGGGCCTTCAGCCCCAAGAGCCACCTCCCACAGAGGGCAAGAACGGCTGGCCCTCACGGCTGGCTCGGGTCGGCTCAGAATAAGCATTCCTGGGGCCAGGTAACAACCTGAGCAGTCAGGGTGGCTTCCTGGAGGTGGTAGTTCTAGGGGGAAGGATGGGCCGGGCAGAGGCTGGGCGGTAAGACCCAGCCAGGACGTGGAGGGGCCCGGGGTGGCTGGACGTCAGCATGGGGCCCAGGAGTTCCTGAGGAGCAGCAAACGGATGCCCAGGAAGGCCATTTGCTGTTTTTCTGCAATCGGGGCAGCGTTGGCTTGCAAGGGTGCTGGGTGGATTGGGAGGGAGAAGCAGCTGGAGAGTTTTCCCGTCTGTACAATGGGACGACGATACTGCCTGAGCGCACTCAGGCACCGCTGCTCACCTGTGTGGGCAGGGTACGAGGCGAGGAGCAGAGCAAATGCGTTTGATGGGAAAGGACTGGACGGGAGGAAAAGTCCAGGTGGCCGGCAGCTGGGAATCTTATTTGCATAATTTGGGAATAAACCTCTAGAAGCTGGTGGGAGGGCTCCTGGCCGGTCTGTCCTTGAGGAAGCTAAGGAGGGCCATCCGAGGAAGCCGCCAGGGTGCAGCTCTGGTGGCCAGGGGACAGGCTGTCCTTTTGCAGCCCTGGAGTTACGCCAGGTCCCACTTCCTCGTTAGAATGTCTCACCCGCTGCCACCCAGAGTCAGTGAAGATTAAGCACGTGAAATGCGGACAGCCGGGCCAGGCTGTGTGCAGACAGAGTGCCCTCATCTGCTCTTGTCATTCCTGGAGATGGGACCCTTCGAGCCCGGGCGGGGGGTGGGGGGGCACCCGTTTTGGGTGGTGGTGGGGAGTTTGATTTGAGGCTGGTGAGTGTGAACCCAGAGATTGGCAGGGGTGACCGCCGAAGAAACAGTACGAGGGGGTGGTGCCAGGTGTCTGGCTTCTGCCCCTGTGGGAGCTGGCGCCTGGCCCTGCCCCCCAGAAGGGTCTGGCTGGGTCTGGCTGTACCAGAGACTTCACAGGCATCAATTTTATCACCCGGCAGCCTGGGAGGTCAGCCCGTGCGCCCATTTTGCAGAGGCTGAGAGAAATCAAGTCACACGCCACCAAGCCCATCCCCAGTGTGGGGGGCTTAGTTCCTTAACCTCTCTGATCAGGGGAGGCTCGAGGGGGGCCCGCAGGATGTTGAGCACGTGCCTGGACCACATGGCCCTCTGTCACTTTTACACGCTGCAGGCAAAGGTTCAGGCGGCAGGAGGCCCCACTGACCCTGCTCACGGACCTGCTGGGACCCACCCCTCGAAGGAAGGGTCTGTCCCCTGCAAAGAGCCTCTGTCAAAAGACCCCCACCTGCCGCACTCACAGAGGACACTGAGTCCCCCAGCTGCTGTCTCCCTGGCTCCGCTCACAACCCAGGGACCCCAGCAGATTCCCAGGGCTCTCCTGGCAATCACCCCGAGATCTGAGCCCCCGGGGGGGCCTGTGAAGAGCGATCTTACCCTCCCCCACCCCGCAGGGATCTGAGGGTCTCAAAGAAGGGGGAGCGTCTTTGCATTTGCACATTTTATTAAGATAATCGATTCTTAAGTTACTCCTCTGTTGATGGGAAGGCATCTCGAGAGCACGCGCCGCCTGTGTGGTACTTAACACCCTCCACTTGGCCTTCCTGGACTTGAGCTTGAGCCCCCCACTCACCGGCAGGAGCTGCTAGGGCCCCCGCCTCTGCCCCACCTGGCGCGGGGAGACCAGGGCAGTGGTGTGGCTGCCCCGACCCACTGGGTCCATTCAGGTCTGGGGGCATTCCCAGACACCTCGGAGGCTTCTGGGGCATTTGTCCCGGGCAGCGCCAGGCTGTGAGCCCCAGGCCCTGGCGTCCTGCCTGTGTCTTCCTCTCCTGACATGACACGTGGGGGGGACTCCCAGCCCTGTCACTGCAGAACCAGTGCCTTCAGTAAGAGCGCCCCCCCCCCCCCAGTCTCTCTAAGCCAGCAGCTGGTCCAGAGCCTCGGGCAGGTGGCAGCCGACCTTCCCAAGACCTTAAGTGCCGCCCTGGGCAGCAGCACCTGACACGGAGGCTCCAAGGTCGGAGGGTGCTGGTTCTGAAGGCGCTGTGTGGACAGTTAGCAGGGACCGCCTTCGGGGCAGACTCTGGACACCGACCTCCAAGACCTCAATTTAGAGGGCTGTGCCGAGTCTTCACACTGGGGCGCAGGCCGCCGGGACGGCTCAGACAAGGTCTTTCCCAGGCTGCACCCCACACACAGGACCCACGCCAGCCTGGCGTCAGCGTCCAGTCTGCTGAACCTCAGCTCACGTCCACCAGGGGCTGCCCAGCCGCGGGCTCAGCTGCGCACATCTGAAAGGCCCACTGTGGAAACACCTCCTTCTGGGATCAGTGGGTGTCTGGACGGCACCCCGCTTCCATCACACACAGCGGGGGAGTCAGGCCGCCAGCCCGGGACAGACGGGGCGGTGGGGCCCGGAGGGGCTGCAGCAGGCTCCTCGTCCTGCCCCGCCGGGAGCCCCGCCTGGCTGCGCGCCCCTGCCCTGTGCCTTGCGTTTCGGGAGCGACCAGAATCGATGCGTGTCCCGAGCCCACGGGGCTGCACGGGCGGGCCTCGCGCCCTGCCCCCGCCCGCGCCAGGCCCCCCGCCCGCGCCCCGGCCCGGCTAGAGCGCGCAGGGCCCGGCCAGAGCGCGCAGGGCCCGGCCAGAGCGCGGACGGCCCGGCTAGAGCGCGGAGGGCCCGGCTAGAGCGCGCAGGGCCCGGCCCGGCCAGAGCGCGCAGGGCCCGGCTCAGCGCGGAGGGCCCGGCCCGGCCAGAGCGCGCAGGGCCCGGCTAGAGCGCGGCCGGCCCCAGGCGGCGCGGCGCGGGCTGCGGGCCGGGCTGCAGCTGCACGCTGGCGGCGAAGCGGCGGCGCGGCCGGCCCAGGCTGCAGTGCAGGGTGGTGCGGAAGGAGCTGCGCGCGTGCTTGGGGAAGATGATGGCGGTGCTGCCGAAGCGCAGCGCGCGCGGCCGCGGCTCCAGGGTCAGCTGGCTGCGGTAGCTGCGCCACGTGCAGTTGGGCGCCGCCACGATCGTCTCGCTGTAGGCCGTGACCGTGGGCACGTGCGCGTAGAAGACATTGTCCCGGAAGTGCTTCTCCGAGGTGTACGTGACCTCGGAGTTGCAGCTGGGGGGGGAGGGGAGGAGGCGCCGAGTGAGTCCGCGGTGGGGCCGCTGCCACCCACGGGAAAAGGGCCCCCGCAGGGCTCTTACCCACGGGTCTGGCTCTGCCCAAAGGTCAAGGCCTAAAGGTCAAAGAAGGGCAGAGAGGACCTGGAGAGACCTGCCGCGAAGGGCAGCACATGACTCCAGCTGGATGCTGAACTGGCATGAAAATGTGCCCCCAAGGACACTGGGACAGTGGGCGAGCCTGGACTTGCAGTGTGTCCTGCATCCCGGGACAGAGGGGCGATGACTCCGTGGAACACAGGGTCACGGGGCGCGGGGACGCCCAGTGGGAAAGGGGCCCCGGTGCTGGGGGGCCTTACACTGCGCAGACCAGAGGGGCTTGGGGAGGGGGTGCCGCTGGGAAGCCCCAGCCTGTCTCCGTCCAGCCCTCCAGGGGCGGGTCAGCCCGGGCCCAGCCCAGCCCCCACTCACCGGATCTCATGGGCTGGTTCTGGGTTCACCTCGATGCCTTCCCCGAAGAACACTGGCAGCAGCCGGGGCCTCATCTCCAGCGCGGAGGGGTTCGGGGGCACGGGTGGGGGCTGTGGGGAGAGTCACGGACCCCTGGCTCCAGGCGCTTTGGCGCTGTGGGCCCACTCGCTGGGGCACACACAGGCCACCCACACCTTCCAGGGCCGGCCGAGCCGAGTCCACAGACCCAGGTGTCCCGGGCGGCCCAGGCCCACGGTGAACAAGCGCCGCCCTCGTTCTCCCTCCCCCACCGTCCCCTCCCCCACCGTCCCCGGAAACCCCTCTCTGCACCGTCCTGCACTACTGAAGCAGAAATCTGGCAGAGACAGGACCTCTCCCCCCGAGACCTGAGGTAGCTCCGGGCAGCCTCCGCGAGGTTCCGTGGGGACACCACCCCACCCTGTCACCCAGCGCCTACAGTCAGAACCGCTCTGACCCTGCACCGGCGGCGGTGAGCCGGGTCCGCACCCCGCTTCTGCTCCTCCTGTTTCCCGTCCAGTGCGCCACCGCGGGCCCGTTCACACTAACCCGCTGGTCGTCAGCTCTCTGCCTTCCACCACGTGGTGGGACCCCATGTTCCAGTCCCTCCGGGGGTGCAAGACAGGACAAGTTTTGCCTGCGACGTGCGTCACCTCGGGGCAGGGTGAGGTCCCCCAGAGCTCCCTCTTCCTCCAGCACATTACTCAAAGTGGCGCTGCCACCAGCCTGAGACCCCCCTCCCCCAGGGCCAGCCCCTCCCCGGCCACAGCTCCCCCCCCCCCCAGGGCCGGCAGCAGCACCCGCCTCCCAGCCCTGGGGAGGAGGAAGGAGCCGGTGTCCGCAGAAACAGCTGCCTTGTGTCCTGGTCCTCCTTCCCATGAAGGTGGGGGTCCTCCCGGGAGGGGGGTGCAGTCCGCAGCCCTGAACCCTGACACGTGCTGGCTCCCACCTTCCGGGAGGAGACGAATTCAAAAAACCAGGCAAAATGAAGTGGCAAGCTCCGAGGCGTCCAGCTGCTTCCCTGGCTCCCCGGTGACGTTCACACCGACCCCCGCCGCAAACTCCCTCCAAACGGATGTCCCCCCCACCGCAGGTGTGGGCTCAGCGCCCACTGTGTGCCGGCCCGAGGGCGACACGCACCGTGCCTCCCAGGCTCCAGGTCGCGGGGCGCTGCGTGGCCACGGAAGCTCAGGGGAAGAGGCAGCCGAGGAGACGTGGACACGGACACTGAGGCTTTTGGAAGCGTTTCTTCCGTGTGGATATGGGGACGCGCTGGAGGACAGGGGCCAGCTGCGCTGGTCGTCACCACCCCCGGCCCCCAAGAAAGAATAATTCCCAGGCTTCCAGCAGGAAGGATTTCTGGGTGCTGCCCTCCTGGGTCCACAAGGGGCAAAGAAACAGCCGAGCCCCCGACATGGCCCGAGTGGACCTCGGGGCTGGCGTGACAGCAGCCCCATTCGGGCCGGCTCGGCTCCCCGGCCGGCCGCCAACACGGGAGACAAGGCTCACTTCACAGGCTGGCCCGGGAAGCCGGAGCCCTGGGCACCGGTTCCAAAGGGCCCAGTGGAAAAACAGCCCCCGCCCGGCGGCCGGGAGCACCACGAGAGATAGGAGAGGCGGGCAGACCCGGACGCCGGCTGGCATCCAGCGGCCTGGTGGCGAGACAGCGCCGGGAGTCGCCAAGGCCCAAGGACACCCCGCAGGGCGCCAGGCCGGACAGGAAGGGGAGACACGCAGCCGCTGGCCTCGGGGCTATTGTCACAGGGAGCCGGCGGTGCAGCCCCTGGCGTCGGGCCAGCGAGAGCGGGCACAGAAAGCGCAGTCCCGGCCAGGGAGGCGCGCCGTGGGCCCTGGGAGGGTGACCTCCCAGCCGCGCTGGAACTAGATGCTCCTCAAACACCGGGGCTCATTTAGACGGGAGCCACCGGGTGGGGAGGGGCGCACGGGTGGGTTCACACACCCAGGGGACCCGCGCTCGTGCTCCACCGTCAGGGGCCCCCTGGAGGGAAGCAAGCCCCCGGGCGGTGCGTGGGGATGACACTAACCAACCGAGCTACCCGGCCGGGACCAGGCCTGGGTCCCTGTTGCCCCCTAAAGAGAACCCACAGGGGCCCCCCGGCTGCTGCTCCCTGGGCCTCAGTCTGCCCATCTGTAGAATGAGGCTGCGCCATCTGTGAGGCCCAGCGTGGGCCTGGGAGCCCGGCAGGGTGGCCGGAGGTGCAGGCTGCCCAGTGTCCTCGGGCTCAGGTCCCTCGTGGCTCGGGGACTCAGCAGGGGAAGAAGAAGGGTCTCAGACGGACAAGCCGAGAGCAAGGCCAAAGCTGTGTCCCAGGCACTACCCTCCCGCCCCGGACGGCCCGCAGCTCCTTGTAGGGGCCGGAGAGGCTGTTACTGGAGCCCGGGGTGGGTGGCTCCCTGGTCTGGGCAGGCAGCAGAGGGCGCGGGATCTCGGGCGGCTGCCAGGCCCCACCCGGTGATTCATGTGCTCTCCCCGAGGATAAACCCTCCCGGCTGGAAGTTAAAATACACACAGGCGCTCTGGTGTGCCCCCTTCCCGGCTGCTGTGCAGGGCACGGCCCACAGGACTCGGAGAGATAACCGCTCTGTGCCGAGAGCTCCGTGCTGCCCGGTGACGGCCCAGCCCCGCCAGCGTCCCGGCCTGGCCAGCAGGGACACGTAGGGACAGCTCAGCGGTGTTTGTGCCCAACCTGGAGGACACACAGAGCCTGTAGCTGCCACTGCATGGGATGTGGCCAAAGCCACGCGTGGCCCAAGGAACTCTGACCTTTCGTTTAGCCAGGGAGTAACAGGCCCCTTGGTGGAGGGTGAGCGGCAGGAAGAGGGTCCAGGGCCCCACCGGCGCCAGGGCGCTCCCACACCAGCATGGGGGAGGGGTGTCCTCCCCAAAGCCACGTGGAACCTTTGCACCCGATAAAATGGCCTCACCGGCTGGTGACGGCTTCTGTGGCAACTGGAAATAAACTCGAGTATCATCAGTTTGTATTTGGGATTTGAGACCAAAAGTTCATGTGCTAGTCTAAGGAGGACCTCGATCGCCCCCCATGAGGAAGACGACCCAAGGGGGGGACTTGAGGAATTCTCACCCTTCTCGTGAAAGGCCCAGGGCGGGGGTTCCTGCCCTCCCCCGACGTGGCCCAAAGGGGCAGCTGGACGGGGGCGTGGCTGGGGGAGCCCAGGACGGAGCAGATTGCCCCCTGAAGAGCCAGGAAGCACCACAGGCCAGGATCCGACCCCCAAACCTGAGACTGAGAAACAGCAGCCCCAGACTGGAGGCGGGCTCCCGGCCGGGTCTGCTCCCTGCCACACGCAAGCAAGCAGGAGGGTGGCGGGCTGGCTTGTGACCCCACAAAGATGCGTGACTTGTGGCTGTGACCCTGTTTGGGAAAAGGTTCTTTGCCCATCTGAGCCGATGGAGAGGAGGCCTTGCTGGGTGAGGGCGGGCCTTCGATCCAATGACGTGTCCTCATAAGAGGAGGGACCCCTGGACACAGGACACACGCAGAGGGGAGGTGGCCAGGTGACATCATTGGCCAAAGGTCCCTGCGGATGGCCAGCCACCAGAAGCTGGAACATTCACGTGGGTGGGTTTTCTCTCCTGCAGCCTTCGGAGGGGGCGCGGGCCTGCCACCCCCTTGATTTCCTGAGTCCTGAGAGAAGGCGTCTCTGCTATAAGCCACCCAGTCTGTGGCCTTGTCCCAGCAGCCCCGGGACAGGCACCTGGCAGGTTCCGACACACGTTCCCTCATTCGGACGTCACTGGAGGAGGTGTTGGGGGTCCGTGTATCTGAGCCCCAGCCCGGAAGCTAGACCACGCGGGCCCAGGACGGTGGCGCCCGCCTGGCGGCACTTTCGGGGGAAGGTGGCACCTGGACGGGCGGGACCTGTTTGCCTCTTCACGGGCAGGTGAGCCTGCCCCAGCGGCCTGAGGCAGTCGGAGCCTTCGCTGAACTTCCAACAGTTCGTCCAGGACTAAGCTGACGGGGCTGAGAGACGGGCCGTGTTCAACTTCCCCTCCAGCCCTCTCGGTCCCTCTGCACACGGCCCCTCCGGCTCCTCCCCCGAGCTTGCCCTGAACCTTCGCTGCTCAGGGGCACACCCGAAACCTGTTAGAGAGCCCCGGCCTGCCTGTCTGTCCGTCCACCCTTCCTTCCCTCTGTCCTTCCCAATCCTAGGCACTTACTGCCTAAACCCTAACCCTTCCCTGTCCTCCCTCATCACAGACCAAAAATGAGAAAATCCAGGATCCAGCAAGGGGTGTGTGCGCGCGTGTGTGCGTGTGCGTGTGCGTGTGTGTGTGTGTGTGACAGCCAAGACCCGAAGAGGTGGCTGTGACCAGGGGTGGCCTCAAAGAGCTGGGCAGCCCTGGGAAGTGTTCAGCGATGGGTGAAGACACCCCCTTGCCCCACTAATGCCAGCTCGGTGCTGCCCCAGGGCTCCCTCAGAATCAGGGTCCTTCGGGAGTCTCAGGTGAGCCACTCAGAAATACACTCGGCATGTCAGCAGCCCTGGCAGATCAGGTGGGGGTGACAGAAGCCCCTCCTGCCCCCACGCCACGGCGGGCTGAGGGCTTTATCTCCCGCGGCCGTGAGGTCTGTCTGCCTGTCGCCCACCCCAAGCGTGGCTGTTCCTTCCAACGCGGACCTGGAGAACTCGGCTGGAGATCCCAGAGGCCGTTTGTGTCTCCTTGGGGCAGTAAGATAGGGCTAGTTCCCCCAACTGCCCTGCTAACTTGGGGGGACAGGCTGCACAGGACCCTCTCCCCACTACACTCCCCAGCCCCCACCAGGGCGGCCCAGGCCGGGAGCCCGAGGGGCACAGCCCACGTCTGTCCTGTTCAAGGCTGTGTGCCGGCCCCGCCTGGCTGAAATACTTGTGGATGAATGCAGCTGACAGCAAACCCCTCCTGGCCCAGCTGGCAGCCCGGCCCTCGGGGTGTCCTGCAGGAGAGCCAGGCCCCACCCGCTGGGAGACGAGCCCTACACAGATCCCGCCCCTCACGGGCCTCTCAGTCAAGTCTCTGATTTGGGTTTCTAATTTGGGGGGTGTGGGAGCTCATAATACCTTTTAAAAAATAAAAATAAGTCACAAGTACATTTTTAAAAGACCAAATGGAATTTTACTTGTTGGCCTCAGCTTGGCCTGCAAGTCCCTTCTCTGGCCTCTGCCGGCCTCCTAGCTGCTCCTCAAACATGCCCATCTTGTTCCTGCCCCAGGACCTTTGCATTTGCCATTCTCTCGAACTGGCACACGCTTCAGCCCTGTAACCATAAAGTCTACCCCTTGATTTTGTGTGTGTGTGGTTTCCATTAAACATCACTTCCCTGACCCCCTGCCTAAAGTAGCTCCACCCTCCCCCAGCTTTTTGTCTTCAGGGCACTGATCAATCCACCTGGGACTCTGCCCCAGTAGAGTGCCCTGCGTGGTAAGTGCTGGCGGGATGAATGTCCGATGTCCAGACATCCATGGGCTTTAGAATCCCCAGGAACATGACTCAGAGTGAGCAAGAAAGCCCGTGATCAAGGTGGGGTGGGGAGGTTCATTCCCACCCAGCCTGGCCCCGTGTATACCTTGGGTGGGGCGCCAGAAGCCCCACCTACTTCGAGGGGATAGGTCCCGTCCATTAAAACAAAGTTGGGGGATGGGCTCTCTTTGATGAAGGGAAGTGTGAACAGGTTTAACCCGCACACACACAAACATTTAACACGCATGCCCAGCACAATAAATTGGTGACAAGCTGATGAGGACAGACAGCCCCTTGGCCACCTCCTTGGACTGGGACAGCAGTGCTAGGCACTGGGCGTGAGGACAGACCCCCTGTGCAAAGCAGGCTGAGACCCAGCCCCAGGTGGTCTGACCCACAATGCTAGGGAAGGGCCAGAGGAAACCAGGCCCCGCTGCCATCAGCCTCTGCTTGGGCATCTGGGACCACGGGCTCGAAACACAGGACAGGTTTCTGTCCCCTTCCCAAGACCTGCAAGGTGGGCGGCCAACCCTCTGCCTACATCTGCACCCCGAAAGCGTTCTCCGTGCATCGTCAGCCAGCCCAGCGTGTTAACACAGGGGTTCACAGGGAGGGGGGCGCCCTGCACCACAGTAACATGTCGGTGGGCGGGCCCCAGCTGCAGGCCCCTGCTGAGAAGAGGTTGCCCATGGCAACCATCTTTTTTTTTTTATTATTATTATTCAAGGTAGCATCTCAAAACCACATAGGTTCAGGGGTATTTCGTTCTCTAATTTAAAAACAAAACAAAACGAACCCCACACAGGTAGTTAATGAACTCCACAGTGAAAAGTGGGATCGTGTGAGGTCTCAGGGTACGGACTCCGGAACCGCATTCCCGGATTCTGGCCCAGCACGGCCACTTACCAGCTGGGTGACCTTGGGCAAATGGCTAACCTCTGTGCCTCCGCTTCCCGCTCTGGGAAATGGGCAGAGTAATAGCACAGCCTTCCCTGGAATACAGGCCAGGACAGCTCCCCGCGCGGGAAGGGCCAGCCCGGCAGGTATCGGTACCTGAGCAGAAGTAGCACCGGGTTTTGCCTTTGAGCCAAATTAAAAGACGGGTATTGTGTAAAGGTCTCTGAGACGCTCTAAGGCCAAGTCAAGTTTGGGACCTACTGGACCAGGGAGCAAGGGAGGCATTCCTGTCTCGATCTTGAGGGACGGGAGCTGCTGCTTCGGGTATGGGGGGGCACTACTCCCCGAGGGCCCAGCCACACGCCCAGGCCCCGGGGGGGGGGGGCTCACATCCTGCTCACACTCACACCAGCAGAAAAGAAGTTGAGTGCGCAGAGCCTGGCAGGGGTGGGAAGTGCCCCTGGGATTATTAGTGACCCTCCTGATTGCAACTTGTCGTCTTCCTCAGGGAGGGAGGAACTGGACCCCCCACCCAATGGCTGCACCTGTGGGGGACACCCAGGCTCAGTCCCGCCACCAAGCCGGGTGCCCACCCGAAGGCCCCAGAGTCCCACAGGAGACAAACTCTTGAGTCCCCGGACCTGGGTCCCAGCCTGCCCAGGCTCCACCTCAGCTCCACGTCGACACCCCTCGCCACCCTGGGAAGGAAGGGTTTCTGTCTGGGTTTGCTCAGGAAGGGGGGGCTTGCAGTTGGCAGCGCCCGGGGACCAGTAAACAGAGCACAGGTCAGAGCAGCAGGGGACCTGGTATGAATGTCTGTCTGTCTGTCTGCTCCAGCTCAGGTTCAAGCCCACCGCCGAGGGGCCCATCGGGGGGCTGGGGCAGCCCTCACCCCAGGCCCACAGAGCTGACAGGAGTCGCTGGGGCAGAGGCCCACCGCCAGGGAGCGGTCTGCAGTCTCCTGCCCGCCCTGGTCCCGGGGAGCGTGCCTGTCTCTGGGCCACCTTCTTGGTGCGAGGGGTTGGGGGGACCCAATCCGGCTCTTTGGGTGCCCTGTCTGAGGCGCGGGGCGCAGACCCCCCAGCCCCAGCCCTGTCCCCTTTCCTGCCGGAGGCGCGTGCTTACCGCTCGGGCCTCGCCGGGTCCGGGGGGCTCGGAGGAGGCGCCGGCGCCCCCCGCGCGGGAGTCGAGGATGCCAGGCTCCAGGGAGTAGAAGGGCGGGCTGGGGCTGGGGCTGGGGGGCAGCCCGGAGTCGGGGCTGTCCAGCAGGCCCTCCCGGCTCTGCTTGAGGCTCTCCTCCATGCCCTGCAGATGCAGGTGGCCCACCATGTCTGGGGGGCGCGGGGCGCGGGCCCCTGGCTCCTCCGGGGGCTCCTCCACCGCGCTCCGGGCCCGGGGCGGGCGGCGGCGGGGCGAGGGCTGCGCGCCGGGACCTGCGGGCAGAGCCGAGGGGCGGCGCTCAGGCCCCGCGCCCCCCGCCGCCCGCGGCCGCCCGGAGGGGCCGCTACCGGGCTCGGGGCTCCGCGCTGCCTCGCCGGCCTGCCGCCCGCCCTGCCGCCGGCCTCCGCTGCCCGCCGCCCGGCCTCTCCGCACCTTCCCGGCCCGCGCCTCCTTTTCTAGGCGCCGCCTCCTCCCTTCCTCTCCCCTCCCCCGGCCGGCCCGCCCCGGCGCGCCCCGGGGACTCACACCGGCCAGGCCGCGCAAAGAGGGCTTTCTGTGTGCCCCGCACGGAAGAAACGCCCCGTGGCGGCACCAAGGTGTGCTGGTGGGGTCCCCAATCTCCCCGAGTAGTAGGAAGGGAAATAAACAAGTTTGATGGGGCTACTCCAGGTCTGTCCATCTCACCAGGTCCCAGTAAAAGAATCTTTAGAAACGGCTCTTTCAGAAGCTCTGGCGGGCCAGGGAAGGGAAGGGGCTGCCGCCTCCCTCGTCCTGCCCCAGCGCCCAGCCCTTTGTTTATGCTCCGTGCCCACCACCGCCCTGGGGGCACTGTGTCTGGGCCTTTGGGTGCAAGGCGCTGGGTGGAGATGGGGCCTGGGAGGGGAGGGGGCGCTTGCAAACATTTACTGAGATCCTCTAGCATCTTCCTGTTTCCCCAGTTTTATTTGCTTACTGACAAGGGTCCCGAGTGCCCGCTTTTCCTTGCTCCCAAGGGAAAAGGGCTCCGGCCTCTGGCCTTCAGACCACTGACAGGGAACGCCTGTATTTCCAGCCCCCACACGCCCACACAGACACCCCCCACCACCCCAGGCCCCAGCCCCCCACCGGGAAGACAGACCGGCCAGGCTGCTGCAGGATGTCAGCATGGGAGGGGGGACAGGGCAGGGACGGAGGGGAGCCCAGGGCAGAGGGCAGATCGCTCCAGGCCCCCGTGCCCCCAGCCCGCCCGGCTTGGAGAGCCCAGTCTGATGGGGTGAACACACCAGGAAGCAGACACTGCGAGTTTACTGGAGGACATTGAACACGGTTAATAATCAGAGCCGCAGGTTATGACTCAGTGCCCAGGGAAGCCGGCTGAGAGGGGACGTTTCCAGAGGAGACCCAAACAGCCGCCCAGCGACCTGGAGGCAGAATTGGCCCTCCGGGAGCGGGGGCATTGGTGCCGCAGCTGGAGAATGAGGTGCGCTCCGGACAGGTGGGAGAGCTTCCTCAGGGTGCTGCGGGAGGCCAGCGGGAGCTCAGTTGGTTAGAGAGTAGTCCTGGGACGCTAAGGGTGCAGGTTCGATCCCCGGTTAGGGCAAGACAAGACTCAACCAGTGAATACATACATGGGTGGAAGAACAAAATCGAGGTTTCACTCTCTAAAAGAAAATCAATTTAAAAAAACAAACAGTGCTTCAGGGAACAACCCATGTCCATATCAACCAGGAAGAGCATGAGAAGTCTGCCACCCAGACAGAATTACCCTGAGGTTCGACCGTCTGGAACATTCTGGAGAAAAGACACTGACTTGGCCTGCTTCCTCCTTTTCAGGCGAGATGGGCTTTTCTCGACCCTTAGGCCCCCTGCCCTGAAACGGCGGGGTGGGGGGGCTGTTATCCTCTCACGGGACAAAGTGGGGAGCCGATCCCCCCAGAACACGCACGCGTGAAGATGCACCTGCTCCCTGACCGTGCTCCCCCGCACCCCGGAGCGAGCTGGCTTCCATGGCGTCTACCGGAGACGAGCGTCCTGGAGGAGCCTTGGACGAGAACGGATTGTTCCTACCACGTGGACCCGAACAGGGAGCGGTACTCAGGTGACAGCACCCAGCAGGGCCAGCGGGAACCTGGGGTGCGGGGCAGGGGGCGCAGCTGAAGGTCATCTCAACTTGATACCGTGTCGAGGTTTGGTTCAACTTGAATTCTCTTGCATTCGTTTTTGACCTTCAAAATAGTGCAGTAAAATCGTGTTTGTCTTAATTCCCTTGTTGGGGGTATTTCCTTAGGTTCTGTGCTCTAGGCTGCCATCTGGCTGGCCTGTGCCATTCCCAGGGACCAGTTCCACCTTCATGACCTTGCCCACGGGTTCTAGAAGTCTCCCTCTGCCCACGTCCCCTGAAAGGGACACTCCCCTGCGTGGAATCACATTGGTGATAAGCACACAGTGGTGGCAGGGAACACATGATTAGACTACAAATGTCAAACACCCAGTTAGTGGCCCACACAAGTGACCCCGGTGACCATGACCTCTGACCTCTGCGAGAAGCCGCGGGCCCCAGCTGCCCTTGGACCGAATGCCCGGGTGGAAAAGCGGTTTCCTGCAGGGCCAGACGGCCTGCAAATGTCAGAGGGAGGAAAGGCCACATCTCCGTGAGCGAGCTGGAGCCCAGCAGCGTGTGGGTGGGGGCGGGGTGGGCGGGCAGCCCCCTCCCAGGGCTCGGGTCCCGGGAGTCACGGGGCCGTCAGCCTCTGAGTGGGAGGCCGGGGGAGCAAGAAGGGGGGTGTTTGGAGACCCGGGGCCTGCTCTGAGACCCGGGTGGGCTGCAAAGGGAGTTGGGCTCTATCCGCCCGGGCGCTGGGGGGATGGTCTACAGATTTGAAGCAGGTTTTTGGAATGATCTGATCCAAATTGCTCCTGAAGTCGGATTAAAGAAAGGAGAGGAGAAAGAGACATTTGGCAGAGAAAATGGATACTTCCTAGGAAAGATGCATTAGGGTACCTGACATGGGGTCCCCAAGTGTGTGTCCTGTGCTGGAGAGAAGGGGAACCCCCCCACCTCACTCCCTGGGAGGGAGAGGTTCGCCCAGGAGCCTGTGAAGTCGCCTGCGTTTAGCAGCATGTAGTGAAGAAGAAAGGTGACTCAGGGCGATCCCAAGCTCCCGGGGGGGCCCCCCCTGCACCCCGCATCAGGGGACTTTCCCAGGCTGCTTGGGGAGGGGAAAGCTTGACTCAGAGCGAAAGGCCAGAGGGCGAGGGGAAGGGCCCAGAGAAAAAAGGCTTTTCACGGAGAGCCCTTAACCGTCTGTTCCCAGCTGCCCCGGGGGCAGGAAGTAGGGCTGGGCCTCGTGGGCGCTCACAAAGGCCGGTGCCCCCAGCCGTCTGGCACTCGAACCCGCAAACCACAGACACAAAGGGGGATGTGTGCCACCCCCAGCGTGAACTGGAGCAGGTGGCACCACAGAGGCTCAGAGAGGGCGAGTGTTTTGCCTGAAGTCACAGCGCAGGGCCAGGCCCTAACACCCTCGCCTGGTTGTCTCTCAGGGACCTCTGTGCATCTCCCCCCTCCCCTGGGCCACAGCCCCTCCAGTGAGACGTGGGGCCTGCAGGCAGACGGGGTTCCCTTCCATCGCAGTCCAGGGGGGCTGCCGCGGAGTGGGGCGCTGGTGCGGCCTTTCCTCACCCTGTGCGGGTGCAGCTGGCGACACGCCCGGCCCGGGCTGCCCGACGGAGGGGCTGCCTGGGCTCAAGTCCCAGCTCCATCCCTCCAGCTGTGTGACTTGGGCCACCTGCAAGCCCTCTCTGTGCCGATGTGCCCGTCCGCAGTGGGGTAATGACACGGGTCAGGCGGAGATGAGAGACTGGGATTCGATGTTAGTTTGAGGGGAGCTGCTTCCAGGCTGCCAGGCCCGGGCTCCGCCCTCGGCACCCACCAGGGAGAAGCCCAGGCTGTGTCCATCACCATTTCTATCGTTACAGTGACTGGGGAGTCAACGTATTGTAAAACACACCCTCACACACCCTCACACTCACACACTCACACACACTCACACACATACACTCAAACACACACTCACACATACACTCACACACACTCACACACATACACTCAAACACACACTCACACATACACTCACACACACTCACACACACTCACACACTCAAACACACACTCAAACACACCCTCACACACACTCACACACACTCACACACACTCACACTCAAACACACACCCACACACACACTCACACACTCACACACACTCACACACATACACTCAAACACACACTCACACATACACTCACACACACTCACACACATACACTCAAACACACACTCACACATACACTCACACACACTCACACACACTCACACACTCAAACACACCCTCACACACTCACACACACTCAAACACACACTCACACACACTCACACTCAAACACACACCCACACACACACTCACACACTCACACACACACACTCACACACTTAAACACACACCCTCGCACACACTCAAACAGACCCTCACACACACTCAAACACCCCCCACACACACTCAAACACACACCCTCTCACACACACTCACACATACACTCAAACACACACACTCACACATACACTCAAACACACACACACACCCTCAGACAACCTCACACACACACACTCACACACTCAAACACAAACTCAAACACACACACTCACACACACTTAAACACACACCCTCGCACACACTCAAACACACACCCTCACACACACTCACACACACACTCAAACACACACCCTCACACACTCAAACACACCCACACACACACTCACACACACTCACACACCCTCACACACACTCAAACACACACCCACACACACTCAAACACACACCCTCACACACACACTCACACCCTCAAACACACCCTCACACACTCACACACACACACTCGCGCACACACACACTCACACACACCCTCACACACACTCACACCCTCACACACACTCACACACACTCAAACACACACCCACACACACTCAAACACACACCCTCACACACTCACACACACCCACACACACACACACACACTTGCGCACACACACACACTCACACACACTCACACCCTCACACACACACTCACACACACCCTCACACACACACACACACACATATATTTTTTAAAGAAGGAAAGAGCAGGCTGGGGAGC